CATTCAAAGTTTTCAAATGCTAGTGCTACCATCCAGAAAGCAGTTGGGACCTCCAACCGGACAGCCCAAACTAAAACTAGCAAAAACAAAAAAGGAAGTATACAAAAGCAATTCCAAGAGCAAACACTCTATAAATTGAACACTGCCAAAACACCTAATATTTTCTTTAAACTTTCAGAAGGACTAAACACGTAATATTTTCTTTAAACTTTCAGAAGGACTAAACACGTAATATTTTCTTTAAACTTTCAGAAGGACTATAAAAATATAAAGCTGTCTGCAAGCCACAACATGAAACGAAAAAAACCCAACATTTTAAAAAATCTGATGATGGCAACAACAAAAAAGGGGGTTATTATTATTAACCCCTTCACTGCCTGGCCTGAGCCGGTCTCGGGCTCTTTGGTAGGTTTGTGGAGCAGGCCTGGCAGTGAAAAGGTTAACTATTCCAAAATATCTGATTTTTTCCTGATATTTCAGGACTTGGCAGGTCAGAAAACAACAAAGCGTTGAAATATTTACAAGTTCCATCTTTTCCACCGACACGGCAAGTGCACCACGATGGCGCCACCTACCAGAAAGCTGTGAGGACCTCGAAGTTGATGGCCTCCAGGATGGGCTCAGGCGCGTTGAGCTCGATGAAGAGCATGATGAAGATGCGGTGGTAGGGCAGCTGTTGGAACTCGGCGAAGCGCACCTCGTGGTCCTGCAGGAGCACACCGGCCATGATGCCAAGCACCTGCAAGAGAAGGGTTGGGGTTGTGGGGTTTCTTTTTAGTTTTAGTAAGCGTTGTATGGCACTTGCAACACAATAAGGTCATAAAAGTGCCGAAGATAAGAGGTGTTACAGGAGAGTAACAAACATTAAAAAGAAGGAGGAGAGATAGTTTAGTTTTAGTTTTAGTAGAGATTTTACGGCTCTCGCAACTGCACAAGGTCAAATGAGCGCCAGAAGATTAGAGGTGTTACAAGAAAGTAACAAACATTTTTTAAAAAGGAGGAGAGATGAGGATGATACATGTTTGATGGGAAAGAAGAAGCAAACCACACCAGAGTACCTGCCAACCACCCACTTTAACAAGAGTTTTACTGCACTTGCTACACAAAAAGGCCATACAAGTGCCAAAGATTAGACAATCTTGCAACACAAGCAAATGTCATACAAGTGCAAAAGATTAGACAGCACTTGCAACACAAGCAAATGTCATACAAGTGCAAAAGATTAGACAGCACTTGCAACACAAGCAAATGTCATACAAGTGCAAAAGATTAGACAGCACTTGCAACACAAGCAAATGTCATACAAGTGCAAAAGATTAGAGATGTTACAAGAGTGTCAAAACAAAAAAAGAAAGAGAAAAGATAAAGACAACAGCTGTTTCAATAGGAAAGAAGGAGCAAACCATGCCACAGCACCCGCCAAAGCACCCACTCTCTCTCTGAGTGTGTGCATGTGTGCGTGCGTGTGCGCGTGCGTGCCTGCACGGTGTGTGTGTGTGTGTATGTGCGGTGTGTGTGTGTTGAAATGGACACAACTGCAAACCTGACAACTGCATCATCGCTGCCAGTCCAGCCTCACATTCCTTATCCCCGTCAACCTGACACAAACTCACCTTGTTGAGAAGGTTGATCTTGGTGACGGTGTTGGTGTCTCCAGAGTGCTTCACCAGCAGGGCAATCAGCCGCACAAAGGCGTCCAGCGTGTGAAAGCACTTGGCCCGGATCATGGTCTGTGACTGGCCGGCCTCGCTCAGCGCGCGGTAGCACAGGTCCACGCACATCTCCGTGCACAAGCGGAAGAACCTCGTGATCAGATCGTCCGTCTTGAGGATACCCTGAGTGTGCATCTGAGCAAAAAAAATATTGGGGCACTTTCAGCGAGAGCGAGTCAAAACAGTAGAACCTGGAAAATCATTTTCAAGGGAATACGGAAGCAATTTTTGATTTCCCAGAACACCAGCAAAACCAGGTGGTTACAGATCTCTGAGGGGATCAAAAATTGAATCCACTTCCCTGAGAGAGTTGGTTTTGGGTATTGACTGCGGGTATCTATTATTCAAGAGGTTACCCATACATAAAATTCTACACATTCAAGGATTTCAAGCTGCCTACTTTTGCCATTTATGCCCAATGTCAATTATTTTGTTTAAACATGAATCTCCTCCTTCCCCCCCCTCCCCTACCCGCCACTGCCCTTCAAAGCACCATAACATCTAGGTTTAATGTCATTATGCAAATATGTATTACAAGAAAAAACACAACAGGAAAATTATATTTCCATATAACCTTAAACAGGGGGAAGAGAAGAACCATTGAACACAAACACATACAAGAAAAATGTACATAAACAATAAGGAAGTTCTTCGCCTAAGGTCAGATGGGGGGGAGATAGAGAGAAAAAGAGTGAGACATAGTAGTAGCAGTACAGCAAGAGGCAGGAGCGGGATGCAGTAGCAGTGAGACAGACCTGCTGCACAAAAGCGTTGAAAGCCTTGAAGCTGTCGCGGCCGGCCTGGGGGGAGTGGTACATGTTGACCCACTCGCGCAGAAGGAACTCGGTCTTCTCATGCAGACCCGCTGGGTCGTCAAACTCTCTGGCCTGCAACCATGGAACCAAAAACATACGCAAATAGATTTATTTTTCTTTGGATTAAATTATTCACATTTTTTTTTTTTTGCCCCTGAGAAATCAAAGCATAAAATGTTAAAGAGAGTGATTAGTGAACTACTTGGTGAAAAGAGAAGCACACTGACACAATAACAGAAAGGCAAGACAGACAGAAATAAAAAAAAGGGAGAGAAAAAAAGTAGGACCTCTACAACTAACTGATTTTTAAAATTTTTTTTTAACCCTACGGCATTTGAAAACAGTTTTAAAAACCTCTCCAAGTACATATTACACCAGTCTATATGCTATAGTCGATGTTGGGCCGATGACAAAGCCAACAGAAAAAAAAACTACAAACAATTAAAGACATCAGCATCAAGCACATTCAGTGACCTATGAATTTCAGGGAGTACAAATTAATGCCAACAACTTTAAGCACTGAAGAAAGCAATTATTCTCAAATGCACATAGGAGCACAGAATACAATCTTTTTGATAACCTTCCACATTAAAAACTCAAACGGCAATGCATTGATTTAAATTGAGCAAATCTAATCTCAGTTCTAAGAAATTATAATTCATCAACATCTTAATGAGCCTCAACATGAAAAAATCATCAGTATTAAATGCTAATGCAGATTTTACTGAACTACCAAAACGTGGATAATTTGCAGTAGTGCTTCTAACACTAAATAGTGACGATGGAAGAAAAAACTTGACCACTCAGGTCTGTCTCAAAACAAAAAAGAGCCTCAGTCCACAGATTTCTCAAATTGGATGTAGAAGGATGTAACCTTTTATAAAGAGTATCGTTAAATGCCGCCGGGATTCAGAAAATTAGCATAGATATGGAATAATGAATGTGGACAAAATTTTCGCCGACCTGCACGGTAAAAAGATTCTGGACAAACTTTTCCCAGACCTGCGTGATTCCCGTCTGCATCATGGAGGTGACGCTGCCAGGTACACGGTCCATGAGGTTGCCAGAGTCGCCAGTTCCTCGTAGCGAGTCAATGAGGGCGGGAAGGCTGTCGGCCTGGGGCTGTCTCGAACGCGAGCTGATCATGTTCAGCGCCTCAATGGTCTGGGGGAACTCCGACTGTGGCAAGAAAATGTGATGAAATAATAAATTAATAGGATACCATTTAAGAACTGGCTCGACTTATGGTCTTATGTTTGAGTACAGAAAAACCAGCATCAGTGGCCAGGCTTTTCACTGCCACACACATTAGATGAGAGTTTGATTCTCTTGTGGGCAGATTTTTATTGAGTATTTCCATCTGTCAGCCTGTCTGCTGGGACAGTGCATCCCTTTCAGCGGCCTTTTAAATTATCTATGGTGTTAAATTGGGGGGGGGGTTTAAAATATTAACAAGTAAAAGTAAAGAGTTCACAGAGGCGCACTATCGCAATAAAGGCTATTAAGTGCTGGGAAGTGAACAAGGCAAAGTAAAACAGTAGGACTTACCAGTGCTGCCCACAAACCAACCAAATCGTTATCTACAATTCATCAAAATTTGGCATGCTGAGCTGTGGCTTAGAAGTAAAATACAATGAATCAACATGAAGAAAAAGACTGCTCTATTCACCCTTAGTGCTCTGTCCCCCTGAACCTACAAGACTTATTTAGAAGAGGAAAAGATAAATCCAAACAGGCGAAATAAAACAGAGGGAAAGTTCTTTAAGTTTTTCTAAGTGTTTTACGGCATATGCAACACAAAAAGGCCATATAAGCGCCGAATATTAGAGGTGTTATAAGAGAGTTACAAACACAAAAAAACAATGATAAGAGATAAGGACGATAGATGTTTGATAGAAAAGAAGGAGCAGACCACACCAGAGCACCCGCTAACCACCCACACAGAGGGAAAGAAAGAAGCAGGACCTTCCAGGGGCTTTTTCCAACCACTGGTGCACTACCGCTGGCTGAGTCCATCCCGATAAGAAAATAGAACATGTGAAAACTAATAATAGCACTGAGAGATAGAAAAGATCTGACAAATCCTGAGACCTGGCAGGGAGACACAAACAAGAAAGCGTCGTCCAGCGTACCTCGGAGAAGACCACGGGCTGCGGCCCTCCCTGCTGCTGCTTGTCGTCCAGCGGAGCGGAGAGCAGCCTCTGCATGAGCTGGGTGGTGAAGGTGATGCCGATCTGGTTGAGCCCGTTCTCCATGAGGGAGCTGAGGTACAGGTCGTACTGGGGCAAGAAGACCAGCCCGCTGCGGATCAGCAGTTCCACCACGTCCAAGTTGTAGCGGTTGTCCTCTGTGCTCTGTATTAGGCATCTGGAAACACAAACAACAAAATAATCATCATACGAGAACATTTACTTTTTTTCAACATCCACCTCTGGCAAAAAAAAAAAAGCCTGCACTTTTGTTTTAGTAAGTGTTTTAGGGCACCCACAAAAAGGTCACATAAGTGCCGAAGATTAGAGGTGTTACAAGACACAAACATAAAAAAGAAGGAGAGATAAGGACGATAGATGTTAGATAGGAAAGAACACCCGCCAACCATCCCCAGTCTGTACTTTGAAAATAGTACCAAAGAAAAGTAACAACCAAACAGTTATAAAGGAAGAACATTATCATCCCCTGCTTCCTGCCTACAGCTGCATTACATACACTGTAAGACAACAAGAGTTGCTTCAAAAGAAAGGCTATATTTACCTTACAATTGCCAGAGAATGGAGAATTCCTGCAAAATGTTGGCCATCTGGAAGCAAAAAGCTAGTTTAACAAAAAACTAATTTCTAGAAAAAAAATTTAATCTCACCTGGTGACCTCTTTGCTGACCCAAGGCAAGCCAAACGCCATGGGCTCACTGAAAGCCTTCAGGATGAGCACATGACACTCTCGGAATCGGAACAGAGTCTCGCTGTCTGTCATGCTAGTCATAGAGAACTGCTCTGTGAGGCCTTCCACAGCCTGAAAACAGCACATGTTGGGAGTAAAGAGAACCACATCCACACAACGGCTATCTAGGTTTAGTTTTCATTATTTCGACTTATACAGTTGAACCTGTATTTTCCGTCTTAGACAGGAGAATTTAGCGGGGAGATGGAGGGAGGGGGCGGGGGGTGCGGGGAGTACAAAGGCCCAGCCGGTGGGATTATGGGTCGCTTGTCCGGTCGGCAAGCAATCACAAGTGGTCAAAACTGCACACCTCTCAGCTGCTATCCTCTCTCATAAAGACATGCATCAGTCTTATTTAATCCAATTACCACCAGTGCTTGCATTTCATAGGACCACTGTTTGACCTTTTAAAAACAAAAACGCTCGAACACTCCTTTGCTTCCACCCTTAACCCCACCCATTGGTGTAATAAGCACTGTCAACCAATGCCACCCCTCACAAGCATGTAACAACGACTCAAGGAACTCTTTTCTTGGCTGGCTGTACGATCAGGGCGGCAGGCATTGGTCAAACTAATTTTACACCTCTGGCTACCAATTAAAGTTTTCGAGCTGGGGCGCCACTCGAGCACTTTCACTGGCACTAATGATATTTCACACCCACACCATCCTGACCATCTTCATCGCTCAGGGCTCACATGAATGGGGAAACATCTACCCTCAAATTGCACCCCTACTCCCCTTCCTTGCCCGGCAGCATAGTGTTAAGTTTAGAGCCGGCGGACTGAACCAAACTTGCAAGTTTGGTTTCAAATCAGGGCTGAACGGACAAAACATTTTCCGTCTTAGACAGGTAAAACCCTCGGAAGAGAGCGGATTTTTCTTTCCATTTCCGAGTTGGACAGGTTTCCGTTTTATACAAATAATTAAAGAGGAATATATCAAGGGGGGGAGCGGGAAGATTCTGTAACGACAGGTTTCCGTTAAGGTAGGTTCGGCTGTACCGTATAGGGCAGACACTTAATACCATACAGCAGGCTCCATTTCAAATCAAACACAAATAGTTTTATTTTCTTTCTAATATGTGAAACACAAATAGTCTTCTTTTTTTTTTTTTATATGAGATTTCAAACTATAAAATCAATATTTCAGAAAACCACCAATATGTGACAGTCATGTTTTCTCTTACAGACTATAATTTGACATTTCTAAAATTCCAGGACAATTCAAGAGATTCCTCCGTGTCTCTAAAACGGGTGCACTGCCAACACCATCCTAGTCCTAAACTGGGAGTTTCAACAAAATCGGACAAACCTTCTGCACTAGCCCGGTGGCCGAGGCCTTGTCCATCATGGAGCGGGCCATGCTGATGGCCTGGAGGAGCTTGTGCATGTACGGCAACGCGCACGAAGGGTTGGACATGAGCGCTATCTGCGACTCGATCTCGTGGTGCATCTTCTTGTACAGCTGGGCCAGCTCTTCCTGGCCGGAAGTCATCTGGGAGGTAGAAGGAGACACATGCACACCAGGTGACAAATGAGATACACAGAGCTTTTAGTTTTAGTAAGAGTTTTATTTTCAAACATGACCACAACAAAACGGAATGACAATATCAACCACCTACAAAGAAAGAAACAGACCACGATCTTCCGCCTACAAACAGAACATATACAGCTCAACTTCCACTTGAACAGAATAAAACCAGAACTTCCCCCAATGTGTCCCTTGTGTAACTAAACATATGAGACGGTGGATCATCACCTGTTCCCCTGCACAGCCCTAAATGACATCAGAGCTACCCTTCTCCCTCCGAGATCTAACTTTGACAACACACTCTATGGAACATTACAGCAACTGCAGCAAGCCTGCACTTATCACTAAATGGCATTGAACAGAAGGACGAGAGCCCAGCTGTTGCTGGATCGATAACAACAACAACAACAGTAACAATTTTACGGCCCTTAGTTTTAGTTAGAGTTTTACTGCACTTACAACACAATAAGGTCATATAAGTGCCGAAGATTAGAGTTGTTACAAGAGAGTAACAAACACAAAAAAGGAGGAGAGATAAGGACGATAGATGTTTGATAGGAAAGAAGGAGCAAACCACACCAGAGCACCCGCCAACCACCCACTTTACGGCCCAAGCAACACAATTGGGTCAAGTGAGTGCCGAAGATTAAGAGGCGTTACAAGAGAGTAACAAACACAAAACAGAGGAGAGATTACACCGACAGATGATAGAAAGGAAAGAAGGAGCAAACCACACCAAAGCACCTGCCAACCACCCAATACGGTCGAACCTGTCCAAAACAACCATCCATTGTTGAGGAGTTGTTATCCATCCATTTTCAAGGAGAAAAGTGGTCATCTCATAGTATAGTATAGGGTTTTACGGCGCTCGCAACTGCTAAGGTCATATGAGCGCTGGTCATCTCAGACAGTGTCGTTATATACTTAACACCATTAAAAACGATTCACTTTTTTAAAATGTGATCAGAATGAAAACTGTGGCTAGGGTTAATACAGGCATTTACACGTTGATGTAAGGATACATTCAGATACCAGAAACTAAATTTTCAAAGTAGCTGTGTGCCAAAATCTGTTCCATATGAAAGGCTTATGTCTCCTGAGTGAAGGGTGGCCATGTATTTCCAATGGACATTCGAGCGCCGCCAGGTAAACTATGGTAAGTCATGTTTTTCAAATTTTACAGGAGAGACAAAAAACATATTTTCTCGAAGCGTTTTGGGTGGATAAACTTCATTTTCATAACAGAGCCTACAAATGCCATGACAAACATTAGGCTCCCTTATGAAAATGAAGTTTATACACCCACAACGCTTCAAGAAAATTCGTTTTTTGTCTCTCCTATATCATTTGAGAAACACGACTTACCATAGTTTACTTGGCGGCCCTCGAATGACTGACAGCGTGCACACACAAGTGTATATACCATATATTGGTCATCAAATCCTTTTTTTCTAATCTCTTCCATTTTACTTCCCTTTTTCCTGGAGTGAACTTGCATCCGTAGTTTTTCCTACAAGAAATAGAGTTGCTTTCAGAAGTCTTGCTCTGAGACTGTTTCTGTGAAAGCCTTCAAAGGTAAAGATAGGCCCTATAAGTTCACATACCACATTGTTAGGTCTGGAGCCCGAGGGCAGCGTGGACTCCGTCAGGGGCTGGAAGCCTGGGATGTTCCGAGCAAACTCGTCGTACACAGCCATCTGCTGGGGGGACACTGAACCGATCTGGGAGGGAGCAAAAGGACGACAGGACCCATTATCCTAAAGGAAGGTGCTACTGAGATGTCCATCTCTTTAGATTACCCATATAGGGCCTACAAAACATTTTCTGTTATCTCTGTGTTCAGCATATTCATGGGATATGGTTAGATATTTGAATGTGATGACATCACTATTCACTGACAACTGAGAAATGCACCTGTTACCTTAAAATTTAGGACACTGAAAAAATCCTAAGGCTTTTTCATTTTTCAAGCTATGTCTTTGTTTCTTGGTAAGACCGTCAACTGCTTTAATACAAGATCGTCAGCTGCTAAAATACAAAACTTTTGTCAACAAGAAAACTGCATATTTCAAATAGTTTTGTTTAAGTAACTTATTTTGTGTACTGTATCTAAAAATGCATGGGGTCATGCATAATTTGAACCCTGTTAGTGGAAAATTGTGGAAGTCTTACTATTTTCAGTAATAAAATCTTACGAAATTAGTTTACTCTCGATTGCCTGATGATGTCCATTCAAATCCTCAACTATTACCTCAATTACACTGAAGACAGTTGTAATAGCAAACCTATATGTGGCGAATTAAAATAGAGCCAGATTTTAATTGCGACTTTCCTAAAGATTTAAAGGATTTTTTTAAATTACTCATTTTAAAAAGTCAGAATGTCATTCAGTCCTACAATCACGAAGAGTCGAATTAGAATATAATTTGTACTTAGACCCTGATGTCTTGGATGGATTCTCTTTCCTATTGTTCACACATTCAGTGTGGGTTTTTTTTATTAGACTTGAGCATTTCAGGTTAACGCTACAGATTCCTCAAAGTATTTTTTTAACGTTATATGTGATAATGTCGAGTATTAGGAATATGGTCATGGACTGGCTGAGATATGAAAGAGAAAGTCTTCATAATAAAACGGCTAAATAGTCACACAGTAAATCGGACCAGCCGCACAAGAAATATTTTATTTCTTCTACACTGACTTGATCATGTAACTTTACAATGATGTAATTGTCCCCTCCAATAACGAAAATACAGAAAACATTAACAAATGCCTATTTTATGTCTACTTTTCACAGCAATTTTTACCTAATCCACACCTGCCGACATTGCCAGGGACAAAATCTGTAGTTGACACAAATTTTTGTCCAAAAATCTGTAGTTGCCCTTAAAAAATCTGTAGTAGGCTATAGATCTATTACCAATAGCCGCATACATGTACTTAATTGGAGACCAACATCAAATATGCATGAATGTGTTTGTGACTTCCAACAAATGTAGAAAATGACAAAGAACAAAAATATATATATGACAAATATGAAAACTTCCAGATGCATTTACCCTATAGTGAATGTTGCTGTTCCTGTCCTATTCATAAGCCGACATGCACGCACACACACATAAAAGAAACAACAAAAAAGGGCAGAAGCAAAGAAGAAAAGATGAAGAAAAGGAGGGCCTTGGATGACTTAGGCCTAGCCTTGGCCCTTTGCCTTCGCAGAATCCAGGGTGACTGCCAACCCGGCTTCTCAATTTTCCAGGGCGGCTCATCCATTTTCAAGGGGCATGTTACATAACAATGACAGCCCGTGCTCCATTTATATATATTATACACACACTGTGAACGACAACAAAGTGGGAATCCCTCAATGACGTCAAACAAGATTGCTGTTACTATATATATCAGCCAATGGCATACATCTGTCATTCTAAAGTTGTCCGCATGTATAAAAAAATTGGGAAAGAAAATGAGCAAGAGGACAAAACGCGCACAACAGAACTGAACGACAAAGTAACCTCGTCAAATAAAACCTTTTCGATCCCCAAAATGAAGAGAATTCTGCACCAACCTTGAGGCTGATCTGCTCCGGCACCCTTTCTGTCTGGTAATTGTAAGCTGCAGGGTCAAAGTACGGACGACCTTCTTGACGAGACACTTTACGGACCTCGAATTCCTGAACAGGCAAAGGAAAAGAAAACAAAGAGACAAGTGAGGTACAGACATCTCCAAAAATAATGAATCATTATGGCAAATAGAATCTGCTGTCTCTCTCCATCGGATCTGAGATTCTGGAACTAGAACAGACAGAAATGCTTGACACAGTCATGTGACCAAACAACTTATTTCATCTTGTAGTCTATTACAGAGGTCGTTCTTTGTCCGATGTCCGGATTTAGTGCCCAATATTTGAAGAAAATGTGGTGACAGTAATATTTGTTATGTTTCGAGAAAGAAAAAAAAAGGAACCCTAAAAATTGTTAGGAAATTGATTAGGATAATGATGATGGTGATAATAGAGATACAGAAGTCGATTAGCTTTCCAGAATTCTATAACATAAAAAATATATATAAATACACATTCTCCATTAAAAAAGAGGGATGAAATAAAAGTGTCAGTAGAAAAATGAGAAAAGAGAAGGAAAAATCCCTAAATTTTTATAAAGTCATGGAAAACATCAAGCAGAAAACAACCCTACTCTTTTGGACACTCACATTAGCCAGTTTTTTATCCATCTCGGGACCAATTCTCTCCAGGGTGAGTTTCTGGATGTAATTGGCACACAGCTCCACGTTGTCATTAGCCAGAATCATGGCAGTGTCCTCCACATTCTTCAGCTGGGCTGGAGTTTGCTGTGAAGGGGAGGGAGGGGGGACAAAGAGGTTAAGAATGTAAGTGTAAATGCTGGTAAACTAAAACAGTAGAACAACTCTGACATCATGTGGTTATGAATCAAAAAGTTTTTCCTTTAGTAAGAGTATTACGGCACCTGCAACACAATAGGGTCATTATAAGTGATGAAGATTATAAGGTGTCACAAGAGAGAAGCAAACAAAAAGAAAAAGGAGAGATAAGGACAGTAGATATTTGATAGGAAACAAGGAGTAAACCAGACCACACAGATACATTAATGGTCATTCAGTGCAAAAAAAAAGGTACAACAGACAGAAACAACAGCGGGAAATAAATTTAGTAGCATCTCCGACCGTTAGCTATTTATATAGGTTTCATTATAGTTTTCGTAAGAGTTTTACGGCACTTGCAACACAATAAGTGCCGAAGAATAGATGTGTTACAAGACAATAACATGCACAAAAAAGAAGGAGGAGAGATCAGGATGATAGATGTCTGATAGGAAAGAAGGAGTAAACCACACTAGATCACCCACCAACCACCCACAGCAATATAGAAGGCAAGAGGGTGGATACTTTGATGGATTAAATGACTAGAAGACAGGACTCTAAGAGGTAACCCTATTAATATCATTAATCGAAAGAAAGTTTTTAAAATGTTATCAAATTCCTTCACTTACCCTCTTTTTCTTCTTCGTCTCACAAATTCTAAGAGCGTGATAAGTATTTCTGAAATGTAGACCCAAAACTAGACCCAAAACTAAAGTTTTTGCCCCTTGTTCAGTTTCTTTAAAAGACAAGGAGAAGAGTTTTCTCTATAACTGAACAAATATAAACACAAATGAAACCAAATTTCTCCTATAGGTAGGGCAATGCCTACTTTTGGTGTAGATCAAGATTTCTGGAAACCCTCAAAATCTGGGTTAGCCCGTTTGTCCTTACAAGTGACTAAGTGACATCCATTAACAGTGGACAACTCACTCCTCTCATGTTGCTCATGAGCGCGGCGTGGATGTTGTGTTTGATCTGCTGCAGCATGGGCTCCCGCGACGTGATGAATGCCATACCCGCCGACACGTTGCGGGCCATCGCCTGGGAGGCTGTGCGCATTCGAATTTCATCAGAATCCAAGGCAAAGTCCTGGCAAGAACAAGATATATATGCAATAAAATAAATGTCTTGAGAATAAACTAAGCAATGAAACGAACAAATTCCTACATGAACCATTCCTTTTACAATTATTATTCTGATGGGCCAATAATTTAGTTCATACTGCAGGAACATTTTCTGAAGGAAAAATGGAGGTAAATGTCTAGTGAGAAAAATATTTGATAATTTTTCAGTCCAGAAATTCTAGAAATTCAACTCTGTACTAGAAGACAACTTTCTATTCATTATTCCAAAAGGCATTAAAAATGTATTCCACTTATTCTTTATTATATATCAGATTTCAATTTCCATTACATACATGTAATGAAGAAAATATAGAGGGATTTCCCTTCTGCATAAAAGCTTCTCTTTCGTTTAGTTTTAGTAAGAGTTTTACGGCACTTGCAACACAATAAGGTCATATAAGTGCTGAAGATTAGAGGTGTTACAAGTGAGTAACAAACACAAAAAAGGAGGAGGGGAGATAAAGACGACAGATGTTTGATAGGAAAGAAGGAGCAGACCACACCAGAGCACCCGCCAACCACCCACAGCTTCTCTTTCAGATCCTATGTTAATTACAGAGGACAAAAAAGAAAACAATCTCTTTTTTTAGTTTTAGTAAAGGTTTTACGGCGTTCGCAACTGCATAAGGTCATATGAGCGCCAGAAGATTAGAGAAGGGGTGATAAGGACGATAGATGTTTAATAGGAAAGAAGAAGCAAACCACACCAGAGCACCCGCCAACCACCCACAAACTATCTCTGTCTCTGTCCTTCCCCTTTGTAAACGCATGTGCATGTAAGCATACGTGCACGCACACACACACACACACACACACACACACACACACACACACACACACGCGAGCAAACACTTGACACACATACCTTCTTGATGATCTGCTCACATGTGACCACAGCAATCTTCACGGCACGCTCCTTGATGGGCACAATGAAGTCCTGCATGGTGTGCTCGATGGCTCCGATCACACTGTTGCGCAGGGGGATGTTCGTCTGGATGTACATGATCTGCACAAAAGTGGGGTAACAACAAGGACATTATTATTAGGAAGAGGCTAGGGAGACCTCAAATGGGGTCCAGCTAGACAGTGAAGCTAGGGAGACCCTCAAATGGATACTCCACATGGCATGTGATAGTGATCAACAAAACTTGCCACAACATCGCTATCGTTCACTTCATGTCGAAAAGATTTGAGTTTGAGAGAACAGGGGAGATTTTCATTCTACCTCAATCCGAGGTTAAGAGTGGCAACTTTTACTAGTTTCATACAAACTGACAACAGTTCAGCCAACTCTTTTGTATGAGACAGGATGGTAAAGTTTTACTTTCCCTCCCACACACAGATGCACTGCTTTGGGGTTGGGTGTCTAATTGCAGTATTTTTTGCTGCAGATCACACACATGGCCACTAAAACTGTCACAAATCAATTATTTCAGAACATCAAACTATGGGTCAAAGCAGGGGGGCCTGCCCCCTATAACCCCCCCCCCGATTTTTGTTTACCTCAGGGGAACCTCTTTTTCTGTCAGTCGAGAAAAGGCGGAAACAATGCATAGTCCCGCATGCGCAAAGCAGAATATTTCTGGGGTCTCCCTAGCCACATTGGCTAGGTAGACCCCGTTTAGGGTCCCGCAAGACACTTTATTATTACTTTGATTTTGGGGAGAGATGACTTCAATACACTTAACTTCTAAATTATCCAATTCTTCTGAGACGTCGATTACAATACAGAAAAAGGCCGAACGCAGCTTGATAAGCAGAGACTTCCGTCTTTTTCGTCTAGCAAGGACAGGGCAAGTAAAACAAGGAGCCTCCCCATCATGACCTGAACGCCAACACAGACACACAAACAAAAGAACCCAGCCTACACTGGGTTAACAATAGTCTTTACACATTCACTCACTGAGCCTTCGTCGCCAACATAGACAGGATATCGGCTGCTGAGCCCTGATCCCGACAGGATCAGGTCTTCACATTTTTTTCAAGACGCCGATCAGGAGTCAGGAGCCCAGAGGAGGGGGCAAAGGAGGTGAGGGGTGGGGGCAGAAAGTGGAAACGGAAGCAGACAACAGAACATTGCTAGAGAGCATGAAAGGAGGTGAAAGGAGACAATTTTAGAGAAGAAAATTTTTCCGTCACTACCCAGATTCTAACCCGGGACCTTTGAATGAGAGGCCAACACCTTAACCTCTAGGCCACGAGAGCCCCCTTTCTACATCCACCTTCTTCACCTTCATCCTAAAAAAAAACGTCCAAAAACCAAGAATTATTAAGAGTTAAGTAAAATACAGATATCTAGATCTAGATAGTGTCTACGTTCTCTAACATTAGAAAATGTATACAAGCTGTCTACATTCTCTAACGAATCAAAAATAGTAACAAGCCTGTATTTGAACTTTCGGATGAGGCTGGACTACTTTTCAATCTTTTTTTTTTTTTCAAATTGGTTGGCATTATGTTTTGCCGATAGATCTACATCATATTATATAGGTCCGCCAGTTCACTCACTGGGCTATATTGAGTTATTTTTATGTTACAGTTGGTTCAGATAAGAGGGGTTAGATGCAAGCAGACCTGCCACTCTATGAAAGCTAAAAATCAGGATTTTAGAGTAAAAAAATCAGGATCAGGTGAAAAAAATCGGGAACAACGGCAAATCAGTCTTAAGGGGTACTGGGGAAGGGGGTGGGGTCCTGGTTCCCTTTTATGAGGCAAGTATGCAAGACAAAACTTTTGCAGGAAAAAGTTCACGTTTGGGCCTCTAATTAGTGGGGAAACTGAAAGACAGCATATAGATAATATATGTACTCGAGTCGGAGTTGGATAGACTGGGGAAGCGCAGGTTGCAGTAAAGTGAAAAGCTGAAACTCTCGTAGTCTTGAAAATAGCTGACACATAACTCTAACCATCTATGCAAAAAGCCCGCGTTTTCATACAGTAACAATGTTCGACTTCCATCGCATGTACACTCAAGGAACACCCCCCCCCCCCCCTCCCGAAAAAAAGATCGCGCCAAGGTTGTTCATTTATTTCTTTTTTCTTATTCCTTTATCCTCAATTAGTACCTGTATCACGGCATCAAGTGTCAAAAAATACCCCCCCCCCCCCGGTCGTCCACACTGTCCCGAAAAACACCTCGACCAACGTGACCGGTGTGAATGAACTTTGTTGACCCCGACAGCCGACGGTCCCCGGCACACGCGCTACTCACACGCACGAGGTCATGTCATGAGATGCGAAGGAGCGTTTGAAAGTTCCACTGACAGATCTTGATGATGAGCCCGACTAACCAGAACTCAGCAAGACGTAGCTTGCTTTTAAAGCAACGGCAGAACAACGAATAGAATATTCTTAGGCCCATGTCATAATTGTTACAGTAATTAGGACACCATTGGAGAATTCTGGGTTATGAAAGCGAAAGTAGATCTTGAGCGTATCCATGTCGGAATTCATAATCGATACTACGTCAATTTTAGTTGAAATAACGTACATGAGTCATCTACATGTACTATATTCGGCATACATGCTTTAGAAAGTAGCGTTCCAAGTTCCTGCCGATAAAAACTCCAAGCAAAAGAGATTGCAGAACTTTTTATATTTTTTTCTAAGAATCGGACGCAACAGACGCAACGACAAAAAATCAGGATACTGGCGATCGAAATTGGGAAATTCAGGATGCTTGAGATTTGGGGCAAAAAATCGGGATATCCCGATTAAATCGAGATGAGTGGCAGGTCTGTCGTAGCAAGCCACGGAGGGTTTGACTTAAAGATCTCTTGAAATCAAAACTGCCCTGAGGGTCCTACACTAGGCCGAGAGCTATCGTAGACCTAGTGTTGATATGACTGTCTTGACCTTGACCCCAAGTGATTTGATTTCATGACAGTGATGTCACATCACACACCAAATCGACAATGTTTTCCCACACATTTAAATTGAATTTGATATCATTTATATTTATGGTCTCTCACTCTCTCACTTTGTATCTCATACCTTGGCATTTAGGTGGGAATATGAAATTGCACTAAACTGCAAGCTTTTCTTCTGAATACTAATTGCAGAAGGCCTGATCTTCAGTGACTTTTTATTCAAATAGTTGGGGGGGGGGGGCATCAGAGTGCATCTTCCTAATTTGAAAATGGTACAAATATATAAATCTACTGTGTGCACGATGTCAAAATTTGAAGAAAAAAAAAGAGGAAGGGGGGTAGGATGGGGGGTTTGAATAATTGATCTCGATGGGATGGAAGAATGTGTTGCCATGGTTGGTTGTTAGGCCTAGGGTTTTAACGTCGCTGTAAAGGCAAGATACGGTACTGTAGACAGCTTTACTTTCGCCAGCATTTTAATTAATTTCACGAGAAAACTCTTTTTTTTTTAGTCAGCATTTTACAGCACTTGCAACACAATCAGGTTGTACAAGTTCAAAGAGAGTACCAAACATAAAAAAGAAGGAGGGGAGATAAGGATGATAGCTGTATTTTTCATTTGTTTTCGTTTTTTGATAGGTGTTTTACTGCGCTCGCAACTAATAGTTGTTTGATAGGAAAGAAGGAGCAAACCACACCAGAACACCCACCAGAGCACCCACCAACCACCCACAGAAAGAACTCTTTCGCGAAAGTAAATAGCTTGCGAAAATATAGCGTAATCATTGTGGAAAAAGCATTGTCGGCACATTTTCATATTAGGAAGAGAGCGAGTGAGCTATTTTTAGATTCACTACAAACGTTAGAGAACGTAAGCTTGTACGTCCTCTTACGTTAAAGAACGTAGACACTTCCCTCGATCTAGTCCCCATATTTCTGTGTAACAATAATTAAGTACTGCTGTTATTTCCTGGGCCATTCAGTGAACAGAAAAGCTTCCTGAAATTGAAAAGAGTGGGGCATTTCTTATATTTGTGGGGAAAAAGTGTTACAAATAACTTAGTAAAGTTAAGTACTATAAGGAGGAGAAATTATATCATTTTCTGAGCCAAACTTGGAGCCAGTAGCTCAAAATTGACATTCCTGAGGAATTTTTTGTAAAAGTGTGAAAACGGCCATTACTGAGAGACCATCTAGATTCCGGAATCACAAAGGCTCAGTGAGTTAATTATCAAGCTCCCCTAGCCCATGGCCGTGATTTCCAAGACCATCAAGATCTGATTTACATAATGTATGTGTTTTATGTGAAATTTCATCAAAAATTGTTTCTCATGGTCACTGCTCATGAATGAACATATCAAATATTTCTCACCACACCATTCTTTAAAAGTGACAGGACAAATGACATTAAATAATAATAACAGCCCGTCCATCAATTCTGATAATGACCAATACATCCCCACAGAAGAATATTTCTCCAGTGAAATAGAAGAGTGACAGGACTACCTGCTGGGTATTTACTGAACAGACCGATCTACGAGGTGCCCCTAGAAGTAGCAACTTCTTTTCCCTATCTTGGGAGTGTCATGGATGACACAGGAGTGAGGCACAGTCTCTGATATCAAGACCAGGATCGGAAAAGCAAGGGAAGCATTCCTACAGTTACAGTACTATTACAGTCTTTCTGGAGATCAAGAGGCATCAGACAAGCACGAAGGTCAGGATTTTCGACACAAATATATGTAAAAAAGTGTATGGCTGTATGGATCAAAAACATGGAAACTATAATAACAAAACAGTCCTTTATCAATCCTTGTCAAAGGAAGATCATGAAAATCCACAGGGCAGACAAGAACCGAACAACAACCAACTGACTGTGAGATTAAAGAAAAGGAGATGGCAATGAATTGTACACACATTCAGGAAGACCAGCCCACAACATGAAAAGATGTAACTTTTGGACAAGCTCTAGAGAGTTAATACTTCAGGGGAAGAGAAAAGGGAAGGCCAAAATCCACCAGAGAGCGAGATCCCAGAGGCAGATTTCAGGATTATGGGACACAGCAGGCTGAACATGGAGAAGATTGCCGAGAACAGAGACGGGTGGAGAGCTCTTCCTGGCAGCCTTTACCCAACAACAGGATGAAAGAAGCAAAAGATGATGATGAATGATGGAAACCCATCACATGTGTTGTTGCAATGGCTCGAATATTTGCAGTTCTATATTTTTCTATGTTGCATAGAGGAGCAAACCCTGAGAGGGATACATAATCCCAACAAAAAGATTGCAAAACCTGATTGGGAATCTTCAACTCACATCAGACCAGCATAATCAGTACACTGGAGACCGAAGTCATTAAGTGATTAAGATGAGGACAAAGATTATAGGAGGAAGAGGGCAAGCATGAGGAAAGGGGAAGTGAAGATAAGGATACTGAAGTTGAAGGTAAGAACAGAGCGAGAATGGAGGATCCCCTGCCCTCTTCCCCTTCTTCAGAGTTTTAAAACTGCCATTGTCACATTGTAATGCAGGTGGATTTCTTGGAGAAATTTTGCTATTCCCCATACACCCCTGGAAAGAGGAAGGAAAGTAGGCATATCACTAAAACTAAAGCCCAGGCACCTACCTGTGAGCTCGGCCCCGCCCCAGGTATGCAGGACAACATTTTATTTTGATCCAGGAGCACAAGGTCCCTGTCATGTTATAAGCAAGATCAGTTGAGAGTAGATGTAGGGAATGATAGAAGTAAGACCGGGTGAGTGGATCTGAGAGACTGATGAAACGGTCAGCAACCTTCTGAGCTGGAGAGACCAGCCCCCATCCACATATGAACATGACTGATCACACTGGATAACACTGCTTCACCCGAGGAATGCTGTTAGACCCGTGGCATCCCCGTCAATGAGTCTCAAAGAAGTAAATTCCCAGCTACTGTGTCAAAGAGCTAGGCTTTCAAGACACAGAGTGAATACTCTGGACAAAGTTTTAAGAGCTAATACTTCTGGACAAGAAGTATAGTTAATATTTCTGGAATAGACTTAGACAGTTAATACCTGTGGCCAAGATCTAAAGAGGTAATATTTCTGGACAAGATCTAGACATTGAATACTTGTGGTCAACATCTAGATAATATTTCCGAACAAGATCTAGAGAGTTAATACTTCTGAAGATTTCACTTTTTATCTCTTCAACCTGGAGCAGATCACCCAAGACTTTCTTGAAGGCGGAGTAACACCAGGGAATGTTGTTGTCTTCTCTGACTCAATGTCAGTACTCCAAGCCGTCGCGGGAGGAGGAGACTACAGAGGTGACGGGAACATCCTCAGCCTTGTAAAACAGATGGGCACTTCCTATGGCGTCCGGGTCACACTGCAGTGGGTGCCTGGCCATTCTGGAGTAACAGGGAATGAGACTGCAGACCAGCTATCAAAGACTGGAGCAAGCCTGCCCCAGACAGACACAGCCGCCTCTTTACAGACCTGCAGAGGGATCATCCAAGACAAAAGCAGAGACGAGTGGCTGAACAGATGGGCCAACGCAGAAACAGGAAGATCTCTCTTCGGGTACATGGACAAACCCAACCCCAAAGACCCTTCGATTCTTTTATGTCGAGCCGATCAGACTTTGATCTTCAGGGCCCGCACAGGACACTTACACACCAACAAGCACATAAACAGAATCAACCCCATGTGGGAACCCCATTGCAGACACTGTGACTACCACGAGGAGACCGTTGAACATCTTCTCCTTCACTGCCCAAACCTGGTAGTTCTTCGGCGCAGGCTCCTACACACACCTACAGGCTTACAAAGCCTGCTCTACTCTGGCGTTGACCAGAAGACAAGGACATGTGGTTACTTGAGGGAGGCATTGCGCTGCCAAGAGCGAAATGCTCGCAGCTAAAGGGATTTCAAAACAACAACAACAACATCTCTTCAACCTCTGAATTTGTGGTTTTCTAGAAACTACCCAGAACATTGAGACTTCTGAAACCACGGGATACATGGAGAATACCACATCTGAAAGGAGTCTACCATTGACCATAGTATCTGCCTTCATCAAGAGATCCTCGACCCCTGAAACAGAGATTCTGGATTCTTTAGTACATGGATGCCTCAATCTCTGAGAGTCTTGCCGGTAGTACCGGTATTGTTTCCTTTGGTCTGGTGTTTAGACACAATTACCAGAGACGGGGACCATCCATAGATGTCAGACTAAGTGTGTCCCAAAAAGTGACAAGTCATTTTCACAATCGTCTTGTTCTTTAAAACGTTTGCCCTGACCTGGACTAACACAATTCTTCCTGACAGGAAATAGCAGCTGCCACTCTTTAAAACATTTGCCCTGATCCAGACTCACACAGCTCTTCAGGCAGGGAACAGCAGAGAAATGTGTCAAGGAAGACACCGCTATGTTTGAAGTAACCACAAACATGCAGGGCAAAGTAGAAAAAAAGCTGCAGCTCAGTCACCAAAAACTTCTTCTTTTCTTCTTCCATACCTACGACAAGGCTGAACAAAACTGAGAACCATCAGAAGCCTTTTTTCTTTTAAAAACCTTATCCAAATTCCCCAGTCCAAAAATCAGCACAACAAAACACAGGACAGAAGACAAAAAATAAGTCACTCCAACACCAAAGAGATTGTTGCATACAGGTAGCAACTCATCATTCTGGGAGCTACTCTTGGAGCTTCACCTCCTGTTATCAGGACAGCAAACTATCCCTACATCTGTCCCCAACTCTCTGTGGGGCGTGATGAAATAAATGAAGCAGACACGGATAAAACAAAGTTTATTGTATTGTTGCCATTATCGTATTATACTGAAAATAGAAAGACTCGGTAGTTCCTGCTGGCATAGACAGATACGTACATTCCTGATACAGCAGTAGTTTTTTACAAGTATACATGATAGCCTTTTGCCATCATTGTCATTTAACCAAAACGTATGCAGCTGGTAAAGGAAAATACTCTGATCTGAGCCCACCAGCTTTTATACACATACAAAACTTTAAAATGTAGAAGAATATTTGGAATTATGCTAAAACTTTGCGATATAAAAAGGACTGACATCAATTGACAACATTCAAATAAATAAAATTACAGAAATTAAAAATCAATATAAACATGGTCATGAATGTGTATGGCTCTGAAAAATACCGTCAGAAGGTCAATACATCTGAAACAGACTTTTTGCATCATTTTCAAAAGATTCATCAGTCTTGAGCATTTCATACTTTGCTTGGGTGCAACTGGATCTCACCGAAACAATCTCTGACACTTTAAAGGTCACGAAGGGGACAAGTTTAGAGGAAACAGCATAGAAAACTTTCCATGATAAGGATGCATAAAAGTGAAAGGACGGAGACACACTTCTTCCGTCTTTTTCTGCTGCTACAATATTCGTGCGTAACGGATGTTATCGTGCGTAACGGATGTTAAGATGAAGGGTTCACCATGTAAATTAGAGGCCATTTGAAGGAATAAACAGTTTCAGAATTTGGCAAAAACTGTCCTCAAAATAATTTATAAAAGCTGTATACATAAAATAGACCAATTCCTTGTAAATTAAGAGGTAGAAATGGTTCATTTTGTATTTACATAGCTGCCAACTTTACAAAAACAGATGCAGTGATTCAAGATGATGGGCATTAGCCAAGTAAAACACACCTGACTGCCTTCAATACATTCAATCTTTTTAAAAGTAGAAATGCAGAAAAATATCTCTCTTCTTGACTCACGGGCTTTGTTCACACATTATCATTTGCAAACCCAGTCTTGACATTTCATCATTTTTCTTCAGCATCCGCAAGTCTGCAAGGAGAAATACTAACAAACATAGAATACTTATTTTCTTATATGAAAACAGACTTACATACTCAGACCCTACAAAATGTATCAACCTTATCAGTACGTCATGTTTTACTATCGTATCCATACGACGTGGGGAACTCTGTGCCACAACTTTCCACAGCGGAAGTTTACAAGTTTATCCAATCCCTATGCTTTGAATAGCGGTCTGTCAAAATGAATTTTTGAGAAATACTGAAAGTTTCAAAGAGATCTTCGTACTATAAATATTCTAAAATGTGAAGAATACAACCCAGTGGGTACAAAATTACCCCAGGGCGTACCGATAGGGTTAAATACTGGTCGGTGGCTGGGTACAAAATTACCCCAGGGCGTACGAATAGGGTTAAATACTGGTCGGTGGCTATGTGTTTCATAAAAACCTATCAGTGAAAACAGTGCAGTCCCGCGTCAATTCTTTAAACAGATATCTCATTGGAACTTAAGTCCCTCCCAACAGGATTTCTCAGAGCCACACACACACATCATGTCAATCAAGGGCAAGCTCGCTAACCTGCTCATTAATGACAATGTGCTGCTGGAGGAAAGTGGCCAGGGGGGTGTTGGTGTTGATGTCGTGCACGCTGAAGCGCGGCTGTAAGGCCGTCAGCATCGGGGTGGCGCCGTCTGTCTGAGGCATGGGCGGCACCGAGGCCGATGTCGGGGGAGGGGGGATGGCCATGTTGCTGGTGGGGGGCGGGGGGATCCCTGTGATGGTGTGCGGCATTGGAGGCATGCTGGGGATCGGCGGCATGGGGATACCTCCGGCCACCGGGGGGTTGGGTCCCGCCGCGCCAACTGCTCCCGCTGCCGGGCCACCCACGGAGACCACAGGCGGGCCGACCACTTCCTCCTGCTGGGTGACCGGAGACAGCTGCTGGGGCAGAGTGGCCATGCGGGTCGGGTCTCGCAGGTACTTGGTGGGCTTCAGCTCAGTGGAGATGTCGATGTTGAGCGTCTTGCACAGCACCTCGATCTCAAACTTGAGGTTGAGCTTCAAGTCCGGCTCCTGGTGCAGCTCGGAAAGAACGTTCATGATGGACATCATCCATGGGTTGGGCTTGCAGAAAATCTGAAACACAACTCAAATGTGTCAACCTTTGTCTTCCTGCAGGTTAGTCGGGGGAGGGGAGGGGGGGGTTGTTGTTTTTTGCGCGTTTCATTTATTGTTTTGGGATGTTTTTTCTTTGAACGAATATACCCAGTGACACTCTAATAGGCAAAAACAAGTCATTGTGTACAATAAATTGAGGGGTTATAGTAGTATACTTTTGAAGATGGATAGACCAGTACAAGAGAAGCAGAAGACGCAGTAAGTACAGCAGGGTGTCCAGCAATATTTCTTGAAAAAATTTACTACCTGGAAAAAAATTTACTACCCAGCAAATCAAGCCCCACACCAGCTCGAAAAGGGAGTTAATTTACGCCATCAATAACATATATATTATTATTACATAACATATGGAACGAAAAGAACACACAACAAAGTCCAGTCGACAAAATGGAGGATAGACAGACGATCAGCTAGATTTAGTTTTAATAAGGTTTTTACTGCGCTCGCAACTGCATAGGTGATATGAGCGACAAGGGGTGGATGTCAACAGAGAAGTCCAAGCTTCGACTATCAAGGCACCCCGGAAATAATAGTTCACAAGTGAGACAAACATACAAAAGAAGTAGAGGAAAATGACGATAGTAAAGAAGAGGACAGAAAAGGCAGCAGTTCCCCTACGCGGGTCCAGCACAGTATGAGCATGACATTAATAAATCAGCCCATTTACAATTCTACTATGCATAAGAACATGTTAATATCCTCCCGTTGGGAATGGCCTAAAGACGTTTCAGTCAGTAGCACTGCCCTGGTGGAGGTGGGAAGGGGAGGGGGTGGTAGATTTATACCTAATGTGTACACACAGGGTGACTGCCAAACCGGCTTCTCCATTTTCCAGGGCCATGTTACACAACAACAACGCGCACACACACACACACACGTAATGACTCGAGTAAACCTATTCAGTGTGAGAGGTGTAAGAACTGTGAGAGGGCAAGAGGCAGTGGCACTGAAAATCTGCCAGTCTTGAACAGAAAGCTACAATATTGTTCTAATTTACTATCACCCAACAAATGAAACGCAAACACTTTATTTCAATAACACGGCTTACAGGGTATGAAGGATCCCGATTCCACACAAGGCCTGCACCAACGCGCGCTTTGTAGAGGGCTCTAAATCTAATCAAAATTCTGAAATTTGCGTACAGTTTTTGTCCTCTGGTGTTGCCTTCATCCGCTCTCCCCCCCCTCCCCCGAGCGTCGCGAATCAATATCTCTCTTAACCCCCTTCCACCTGCCGCCATAGCCGGCTTTTCGCGTGAAACGTACTCTCAAACGGGGAAAAGGTGAAGGAATAATTATATCACAATCGCGACCTGCAAAAACGGAGTCATGTACTGCGGCTAGGGTTCACTGAAAAGTCTTTCTGGCTTCATCACTCAGTATGCAGGCTAATTTACGACCGTTTACCAAATTTGTACTACCTTCAAGGCAAACTTACTACCATTTACGACCTTTACGACCTTTACGACCAGGGCGCCCAATTTACGACTTTTTTACGACTTTACGACTTTGCTGGACACCCTGTACAGGGATAAAACGCCAGTCCATACACCAAAAAAGTTGTGGCCTATAAGTGGCTGGAGAGTGGCTACGCCAAAGGGCTGGGGACAATGCATTATGTACACTCACTCTTTTAGTAAATTGGTTTTTCACTGGAAGCAAGAACTGCTTGCAACACTTACGCCGTTGGTTGGTGGAAGCTTCGAAGTAGTTTGCTCCTTCTATCCTATTTAACATCTATCATCCTCATCTCTTCTCCTCCCTTTGTTTGTATATTACATTCTGATTCATAGCACCTCTTTGGCACTTCCTTGACCTAATTGTGTGCAAAATTCCTATATAAGTCTTACTAAAACTAAACACCTAATCTTCGCTGCGCTTGAATTAGGTGCTCAGGAGGGCAGGCAAAAATTGCCTTGGTGGGACCTAAAACTCAGAGGGCACCAAGGCAAAAATTATAGGTGATCATCACAACATCTATATAAATAACAGTACAATTTATTCTTACTATCTACAAAAGTATAAAGTTATTGGAAAATTTGTAAAATTAGGAATGAAAACTAAGTAAATCCCAGTAAAAATCACATCAAAACAAAAGCACTAAAAATCAGTTTTAAATAAAATAACGATCACGATTGCATCTGACTTAAATGCCTTTATAACTACCTCTTGTTGATTGGATTAATATGAATAATGTGCCGGAAAACAGTAAATAATATGACCAATTAGGTAAGACATTAATCATTAATGAGATTCAAACAGAGTAGTTTACAGGCAGTGTAGTGATAAAATAAAAACAAATCATGGTAAATGAAAACAAATTTTGAACTTGTAAAAAAAACAAATGGGGAGTGAAAACAACTTATGAACTTGTATGGGGAAAAAATGAATAAATAAAAACTGTTTTTAAACAGTATGAAGTTTTGGCTGTTTGTTTTTTAGTTTTAGTAGAGGTTTTACGGCGCTTACAACTGCATAAGGTGGTTAAGACTATGATAAGTGAAAACTAGTTTTGAAAATACATGTTTTAAAGTATAAAAAACACCTAAACAATGAGCATGTCATATGACTTATGACTAGATCAGTATATTGAAAATATGCTGGAACACATAATATAAAAAAGACAGGATTACTGTTTGTTCGTAATCGGAAAAAACAAGTGATTTTTAAAAGTTTCACCGGATAAAATGATTTCAGAGAATAGTACTGTTTTATCAGGACATCTATTTGTGAGACACATCTCTTGCCACTTGGCAATGCAGGGTTCTGGATTGAATTCTGTGATCTCAGGACCATTGGGACATATAACATAATCTTTTCAAGCATATCTCTGGAAAGTGAACGCCTCCAGTCACCAAGGATGCCCTTCATTAAAAACTGCCTTTCTACCTCGGCTGTGGATGATGGCTAAACAGAGATTATATGAGGAAATTTCCATGCTTTTTTCAGGATTGAACTTGTCTTGTTCTCATTGAGAGGTAATAAGCCCTGACTTTCGGAGAGAAACATGAGCCACCCTTTCTTTATTTTCAGTGTTGAAGCATCCTTGGTGTTGAAACACTTGGTAATGAAGCACAGTCTCAAATGAGCTTTCAAGTCGTCCATCTGTGTCTCACCATATTCTTTCAGCTCATCCATTTTGTCAGTTTTAGGAACACTTATCCAGTCAAATATCTTTGCACTCTTCAAAACTTTATCTTCTGATGTGCCAGAAAATCTTTCTACCAAGAACAGCACCAGCTTATCCAACACATCTTTCATGGGGTTTTTTTGTAATCATCACACTTGCACTTTCTCTCACATCTGCAGTCTTCTTTTTCATCCAGAGCTTTTTTCAGACACTGCTGAGGTTTGCTTATCATTGCTGTGAGTGTGTTTGCGCTAGCCATGACAAAACGAACACAATGGTCAAGCTGAGCAGTGTCTCACTGAAGCTTTGATGAGATTTCAGACAAGTCTGTCAGGATGTCTTCATACCCCTCCCTCCCCCTCCAACGAGTGTATCTTAAAAATAAAAAAATCAATAATTGCCCCCCATTCCGGAGTCCAATACTTCGCAGCATTCAGACTTTGAATGAACTTTGGCGACCTCGAAAACAACCGGTGCTCACACGATGCCGTATCTTGTGAGTAAGTTGTGATGCTGGTTCACTGACTGGTCACGGTGGCAAAGGTCACGAGGGAAAACCCAACAAGACGCTTGTATAACTTTCTTTTCTTTCTTTTTCCACAAGTGACAGCACAGGACAAAGATTGATTTATTTTCATGGCCTCACATTCTTTTAAACAAAAAACAAGGGCACAGCAAAAATCGCTGCGGTTGACCCTTTCATTTCAAGGGCATTACGGAAAATTGCAAAGGCACCAAGGCAAATTGCCGCGGTCTATTTCTAACCCTGTATATATTTATGTTCCACAGTCCAACATGACTTTATAATGATCACAAAAAGCGCAGAAAAAAAGCTGTGATGTTGAAACAGGATGCCCTTCATACAGGCAGAAAGTTAATGGCCTTTACCCCATTAAACAAAGAGGATTTCTTGATTTCAAAACTAATAAGTCATAATTACTTAAAGAAATTCTGAACACAGATACAGTAAGGCCAAATTGGGAGTAAAACATTGGCATTCACATTTTGTCGTCAAATTTTAGGCATGATTCATGATTCTATAGCATGACCAGCAGTAAGTAATCAGACATGATTGAAAGCCCCTGATTTAAGTCTTATCATCATCGTACATAAACTGAGTCCTCTTGCTTTGAGAACAAACATCATGTTTGAAATCTATCTGCAAATAAATTCAAACATGGATCAATCAAGAATGGAGTTTAGGGCAAACGATGCCTGAATGCAAAAAACAAAAACAAGAAGGAAAAAAAAATCAAGAAAACAACCGCTCCCCTCAGAGACCAATTTCACAAAGCTAGATTATCACAAGAACAAAAAGTACCTTGCTCTTGGAGCAGGATTCCAAGACCTTGGCTGTAAAAGGCACAACATACAGCAGCTCTTGATTTCCCTTCTGGTAAGCCTCATAAACCAGAGCTTTCAGGTTCAATTCCTGTAAAATGAAGGATGAATCTACTAAGACCACAAAAATGTCAAACTGTATAAATCTACCCTGATCATTTTTAAACACCTTAAAGGCTTTACTTCATAAAAGGAGCATACATCTGAGAGCATTTCAACCTGCACTTTTAAATTAATAATCACAAATCCCTTGATAAGGCATTCGCCATAAGGAAGCTCATTGCCCACAACTAAAACAAAAGTGGTCGGTTGATGATAGCACACTGCACCAAAAAAGTAACACATACACTCCTCCTGCAAACCTTCCCCCACCCCCCACCCCCCCAAATCCCCCCCTTTTATCTCTCTTACACTTTCTCTTTACTCCAGACTCACAGCATCAGTACACTAGACATCTAAAAAAAAAACAAAAAAAAACAAATTAACAAGGGTAAGTTTTACAAAACGTCACCATGACAAAAATTACATTTAAAAATAAAAAGTACAAAACTGAACAACAACAACAACAAAAAAGAATAAACAAACCGATGAAGACATTAACAAATGAATGAATGATCCATTTTTTGAAAAAACAAGAAGCCATCTTGGCACCATTGACTCACCATGGTGAGGATGGGGGTGCACTTGGCGAGCGTCAGCATGCCGAGCCAGTGGCCCAGGTTCTTCAGCAGAGTGCGGTCTGAGAAGTTGGCCACGCCCTTGTCGCTGCGCAGGAGCACCTGTTGTGGGGGGAGAGACAGAATTTTCTGATTTGGCTTTTTCCTCTTTCTTCTATGTTCTCCACAAAACGGACTCGAGTCATAGCTGATCATACATCCTTCAAGCCACAGGTCCACTGAGCTGAAGAACTTACAGTCAGCTATTTCCTTGTCATTAGCTACATCTATGTTTCAATACTGACAAGTTAACATATATATACATACACCCCCCCCCCACCTGTATTTATTTAGCAAATAGTTAACGTTCACTCTTTTTCATCTCGAATATCAACCTAAGAGGTGGAGACAGCTGGTGCAACCTTCTACAATGCAACGCCCTCGCAAAAGGTTAAGCGACTCGTGATCGAGATCGTAATCGTGATCTTAAGAGATTGGAGCAATCAATTTATCAAACAACCAACATGTGGAAAGAGAAACTTAAATAGCCCGTGTAGTGAGTGAAGCATTGGGCATTTTTCACAATACCAAATACAAAATGTTCATTTTTCATTAGAAAAGTGCTCATTCAAAAGCTTACAATTTCCAAATCTACTCGTAAAAAAGTCAATTCTACTCAAGAAACTCAGTCAACAGTGTAATGCTTCTATGATTAACCAAAGCTATAATTATATGCTCACTGGCTACATGAAACCCCATCCTTAGACACTACCTATCCACTTCCCACTGCAAGATTGGGATAGGAAAGTTTTAGTTTTGCACCCTGGGAAAAGAGGTGGCTAGCACTGAGAAAGAAATTCTGAGAGACGGAATGTTTAGAACATATAGTTCAGATCCCAAAGAGCTACATCATGAAGCGATATCCAGTTTCCTCCAGTTATAGATTTCAACTTGGTATCCGACAAGCTCACCTTAATGTTGCGAAAAGTCTCTGTGACGACAATGTTGGTGAGATTATCAATGCCGAGAGCATCGACAAAGTTGGAGTAGAGTGTGTGGAAGTTGGGTTCAATGCTGGCCCGCTTCATCACAAGGTACTGGGCAACCCATGACACAAAGTCGTTGCCCATCGTCTCCTTCAGTTCTTCAGCCTGAGAAAGAAAAAAATGTTCAGCACACAAAATATCTCATACGTACTGTAGCTCTCACTATCACATGACAAAACATACAGAATGATTCTATAAGCACTACCATATGACTAAACATACTGAATACATCACCAAAGCACGACTTACTATACAAAATCTATATATGGCATAACACACTTCTGTGTAACAAAATGTCAATTGAACTCCCCTTCCAAACACAATACAGTCGGTTCAAAAGTTGTTTATGCCAAGTAAGCATGCACACATGGCGCGTACGCACGCACGCACATGCACACACACACACACACACACATGCACACACACACACACACACAGATATTCACCTTCTGATTCATGTTAGCCAAGGACAGGTTGTTGAAGATAAAGAAGACTTTGTCCTGTACAGCTTCGGGCGGCACATGCACATCGTTGTTCCCCTGGCCTGCCAGCAGTGTGTCGATGTTAGTGGCTGTGGCGATGGAGGGCTGCAGAAAATAGGAAGGAGGACAAGAAACCAGTCAGCCAATCATCTATGGTAGAACCCCGCTTATCATCACTACAAAAAATATTGTTAGTTCAGTTTGGATTTTTTCAGGGTTTTTTAAAGTAAGAGTTTAAAGAAGGCACATGCAACACAATGAGGTCATATAGGTGATGATAGAGGTGTTACAAGAGAGTAACAAACAAAAAAGGAGCAGAGATAAGGGCGATAGATATTTCATTGGAAAGAAGGAGCAAACCACATAAGAGCATCAACCAACCACCCACTTGATTTGGGGGGGGGGGGAGGGTTAGATGGCAACGCATTACAAGACAATACCAGAGAACAAGAAATTTTGACCTAAACAACAGACATGCTGTAACATGGTATGTGTTATATTTCTCATGTGAACGTGGCTTCCGTGTGTATCAGGCTACATCAAATTTTGATACCCTAAAACGAACATGCACTGTTGTGTGTCTCATGGAGGTTGTGTCGTCAACAACAGTGGGAGGCATTGGAGGATGCTCTGATGAAGTTTGCTTGTTCTATCATACTCTAGTCCTTTATTACCCTCTTTTTATTTTTGTTTCTCTCCTGTAACTAATCTTCTGCACTTATATGACCTAAAGTGTTGCGAGTGCCATAAAACCAAACAATGAAAATAATCAATTGCATTTATATAGCGCTCTATCCCATACAAGTATAAAAAGCTCTGAATGTGTTACATCGAAGGCATGATTACTGAGAATAAACCTCACGCACTCAAGAAAAAATAAACATTTGATGTGAACAAAGAAACTATTTCAGCCACACAAAGAACAACTTTCTCAACCATAGATTAATTATATACACATATGGACAGCAGTGAAAACAAGACAACAGACAACAACTCTCACCTTAGCACAAACAAATAGATCCGATCATTGTTATTCATTATAATTCTCTCACTGTTCAATCTTAGTGTTGAAACATCACTGTCCCTACTCACTCACATTCTTGTAGTCGACAATTGTCTGATATGAAGAAGATCGCGAACATAGCACTCGATAAAGGGACACATAACCCCCCAAAAAACGCAACTACTCTGACCTTAGCGAAGCTGCCGCTGCTCCTCTGCACCGAGGATGAGGTCACACCACCACTGGCCGGGGCAGCGGAAGAAGGCCCACTGGCCGGGGCCACCGATGCCTGGGGTGGGGGCGGGCCGGATGTGGCCCCTCCTGCTGCATCCATGGTCGGCACAGGGGGCCGCACGTGGCTGGGGAAGTTTCCCACGGGGGTCATAGGTCGACCACTGAGTTCGCTGATCATCCCATGGGGCATCTGAGGGTGAGGGGGCTCCTGGGACCTCGTGCCGTACTCCACACACTGTAGAGATAAACACACAGAGAAACTCAAGGGAACAATCTTTAACACTTTGCGGTCACTTGGCGCCAGAATGCGTCAGGCCTGAAAAGTCCGTTGCAGTCACTCTCCTGGCTGGGTGACCAGATGGGGTATTTTGTACAGCTGGTTGTGTGACTGCAGAGTGTTAAGTCCTTGAAACACATTGAAAACACATGGGAGAGAAACATTCATACACTTATGAGCTACAGACAAAAAGCATGTCACAGGTGTTATGCTCTCTATGCTCTAATCATGTAACTGAATGAAACTGGTCAATTTTTTAATTTTTGGGCGCAGTCTAAAACAATAAGCAATGCCATTAAGCTGATCTTCAACAAAAACTTTTCCCAAAGAAAAAAGCCCTGAGTCATACTTTTTACAGAAAAAGGAGAAACATTGATTTTCTCTAAACTCGCACTGGGACAAAGATGCTTTGATCACATGAATGTTAGGCACATTTATACTGGTCTGACTGAATAATTAAAAAATAGACATAGTGTAAAATGGTTGAGTATCTTTGATATTACAAAGAATTCTAAACATGTTGGATGTTTTGTGCCTAGTCCCTTGACCTGAGACAAAGAGTCGGTGAAGACTTACCTCGATCAGGTGCTGAGGGAACTGCATGAAGTGAGGGATCTGGGTTACATGCTGGCAGTACTGTGGCAGCTCCTTCAGTCTGAGAGAGGATTCCCAAAGTAACATTAGTGGCAGCGGAAGTAAGTCTCATACACAATCGTAATCTTGCACAGAAACTATTAAGAAGATGACAGTCAAACTGATTTCAAATCTTTCCAGGGGCGGCCATCCTCTTCCCAAGGGACGCAGATGGTGGCAATATGTACTCTAAAATAGTAACATTTCTGCAGAAATATAACCTAGCAGTCACCCAGTGCTGCTCATCATGAGGAACCCTCTGGGATAATGGATAATAGAACACTGGAAACAAGCAATATAGGAGTGTATAACATATCAGCTGCACCCACAAACTACAACCCATTTTTCTTTTTATAGTAGAGGGTTTTACAGCGCTCGCAACTGCATAAGGTCATATGAGCGCCAAGGGGTGGGCGTCAACAGAGAAGTCTTTACAGGGAATCAGACTTATTCCGCTCACCTCTCTAGCTTCAACAGCACAAGGTCTGCTTCAACTATCAAGGCACCCCGGAAATAGCAGGTCACAAGAGAGTGACAAACATATAAAAGAAGTAGAGTAAAAATGACAATAGTAAGGATTAGGAAAGAAAAAGAAGCAGTTCCCTGTTGTAGATCAGGCACAGTTATGAGCGTGACATGAATCAGCCCATTTACAATTCTACTGTGCTTGAACGAGAAATGTCCCCCCTTTGGGAATGGCCTAAAGACACTACAGTCAGTGGCACTGCCCCGGGGGCAACTACAACCCAAACAATGTAAGATATACATATATTGACCACCTAGCTGTCACATTTGGCCACATCAAACACCATGATTTACTTGAGAAATATTCAGGAAGCAAAGGTAGAAGGAAAGAGAGGAAGGGGGAGACCTCACAGATGGGAACAGGACATAGAAACCTGACTTGGAACCAAAACAACTACGGCAGGCAGAACAGCAAACGACAAGGTGTTTTATTGCAGGAAGGTCAAGGAAGCAGCAACGATTAACTGCTGGAAAGCTCGGAAGAAGAAGAATGCATAATAGCGACACAATAATGATCATTCAGTGAAGGGAAAAGGCAAGACAGACAGACAGGAACAACGAAAAAACATAAAGACAACAAAACTGTGAGACAATCAGTCTCTCATTCTCCTTTTCTCTCTTTTTCCCCCTCTTAATCTCTCCCCGTCCGCATCAAGAAAGATAATACGAGTCACGACTCTCTCACATAAACGCGTACACTAGTGCACTCGCACCCACATATATCGACGAAGTACAAACAACAAAAAAAAGACTCACTTTGACTTAAATCTTTCAAGAGAAGCAATTCCAAAGTGGTACATTTTGGAGCTGGGCGGTTTCTTCAGAGCTTCCAAGATGTATCGCAGGGCTTTACCCAAAGTCAAGTATCTGTAACAATCCAAAAGAAGAAGATGACAAACATGACTGAGCCTATGAGTCTACAAACGTCAAAAAATGATGATGATGATGATAATGGTAATAATTATCAAAAAAATTAATTGCACTAATATTACACTAATATGGCACAATACTTAACATTGACCACATAACCAGGCAAATTTTATTAATTCTTTGCCTTGTTTCTTCTTTGTCACTCCCGAAGAAGCCTTTGTGTTTATACGTAATTTCACATACAAAAAATACTCAAGTTACTTCCATTTAAGTGGTTGAAACCTTCCCAAGAGTCTATTCTACGCTTCTTTTTAACAAGGATGATAAAATCGAATTCCTTGACCAATGTTCATTTGATTAATTTGCAGTAAACTGAAATTTTTCAAGACGTAATACTACTTTTCAACCATGACAGAGATGATGATGCTGATGATGATGATGATATGATGATGATGGTAATGATGATGATGGATGAATAGAGTTAGGGGAAGTAAAGGCTGCAAAGTAATGCGAGTAGAGTAGTAGCAATGGCAAATTTTGTGGTTACTCAAGAAAAATTAAAGTAACATTCCAAGTGTTACTCCAGTAATAGCAAAAGTAACACAGAAGTAATGCAAGTAATTTTCAAGTAATGACTGTTAAAACTCATGTAATTTTCTTCTCAATTAAAAAAACCCATTGACGCTAGTGTAGCCTAGCCTTGATGGGAATTAGTAATGTGATTACTAAATAACCAAATACTAATAGTCCACATTATTTTTTAAGCAAAAAGAACAGAACAATTAGCGGTAACTTGGAAGGAAAAAGGTCAAATAAATTTATGCGGACGCTGTGCTTCAGATCGAGGAAAACTGCCTGTAATGCAATTAACCAGTAACAGGTAACAGGATTTCTTTAGTCATTCATTCAACCTACCACACTTTTTAAGTACAAAAATACTACAGAGATTTATTGTTCGTTTCTACAATCTAAAAAAATATATATTTAGAATCTCACTTAAAAGGACCAGTTTGTTGTGAGTTGTTTTCTTCTGCCATCATCAAATTAGACCAAAGCACTTTCGACTTTGAAAATTTCTTTTTACTGACTGGACTTCAAAAAGAACTAGATATAAAGATGTATAATAACATATCGAGCATAATTATCAAAGACCTTTCACCTTCATTTAGAGATGAAAATAGAGATGAGCATAATTAAATACCTGGAATCACAGATAAATGCGTCTAAATTTTCATCTGCCCAGCCACTAGAAATTAAAAAGAAAAATGAAAATACAAGCACAATGAAATCCCTGCTAAACATTCTTTTCCTCTTTCATTATCCTCAATAGAGAGCCATTTATGTTATATCCATCGAACCGGTGATAACCCCAAACATACAAACTCCAAAAGCAAAGGTTCTAACCAAGGATTTAGTTAAAAACACATATCCAAGGCACAACTGAACCCCCCCCCCCCCCCCCCCCCCCAAATATTTAACTCTTCCTTGCTCTGGTTGAAAGAAAAAACACCACACACTTACATTATTACAAGACATTAAACATGACTCCCACAAACTTAATGTAATCTTGGGAAGTCACTAGTGAGCAGAATGGATTTTTAAAAAATAGTAAAAAGCAGTCTTACTTCCCCCCCCCCCCACAAGAACATAAAACTTGTTCATTTCATTTTTCAACAGCTATACAACCTCTTAGCTTCACGTCATAAAAGTGCTACATAAGTCCAAGCAGTGTGAAGGACTACATTGGCAGTTTCACCATTTCAGGAGTCACAATAACCACAGTACATACAAAATCAATAATCGATCCAGTGCTGTTGTCCATCCAGTCACAGAAAATCAGAATAATAACAACCACATTTAGCAAGGAAGGAGATTTGGAAAATGGCATACTTCAAAATAACACTGCCATGACGTTTACATAATTCATGGTCCAAAAACATAGCATGGCTTATTATTCCTAATAAAAGGATGTTTAAGATCACTAACGTGACAATCTTCTGCTCAATAATTCCTCCAAACAGTTGGGCTGTGATCTGCAACTCTCTTTCGGGGTACTGATGGAAAAAGCGGTACTCCTCAAACAGATTACCCAGCATACAGGCAAAAACATCCTGTGAATAAAAAGAATATGATTCAGAACCCCCAGAAAATATCAAATCATTAACAAACTTTAGTTTTCACAAAAAGGTGACAACTCTTTTCTTCACCGGTTGCTCCTGTTATCACATTAACACTTTTCCTACCAGGCCAGAATCCACCACCGGCCCAGGGCTTTTCCGTGACGTATTTTTACGCCACTACCCCACCAAAGGAAAATGTCTAAACATCCATGTGGCCCATTAAACTGAAGGTAAAAAGATAATTTATCAAATGGTGGTACACTATTGGAGATATATTCCAATAATAATAGTTTGGGGTTTCTAAAAGTGATTATGCAATATCGAAAGTGTCATATGAAATCAACAATTTTCCAACTTTGAAACGTCATAACTAAAAAGGTACAACGGCATAATTCAAACTTCCCACGTAGGTTGCTCAAGTAATGCAAAGAAATGCTGACAGTTATGTATGTGTACCTATTAAAGAAGTGAAAATATCAGACATATACTGAAGTCAGGGGAGCACTTTTTTTTCCTTTTTACATTTCGAAGGGGACAGAAAAAAGCGCTGAAATGACAAAAATTCGTCTGTCAGTGCTATATTTTCTTTCATATGCGCTAACAGGAAGTCTATTCTATTATTTCGAAAACACAGATGGGCCGAGAATTTCGCGTTTTTTCATTAAGGATAGGAATAGATAGCGAGCCACTCGAGCCGTATTTTGCGGCTCTCGGTGAAGCGAGGCCACGTCCGCGAGCCGCATTTTGTTCCCCCTTCCACCCCAGGGCAGTGCTACAGACTGAAGTGTCTTTAGGACATTCCCAAAGGGGGGGTATTAATATTAAAATGTTCTTATGCACAGTAGAATTATAAATGGGCTGATTTATCAATATCAAGCTCATACTGTGCCAGGACAACATAGGGGGAACTGCTGCTTTTTCTTTCCTCATCCTTACTATCGTCATTTTTCCTTTACCACTTTTGTATGTTTGTCACTCTCTTGTGAACTGCTATTTCCGGGGTGCCTTGATAATCGAAGCAGACTTTGTGCTGTTGAGGCACGAGAGGTGAGCAGAGTAGGTCTGATTCCCCGTTTGAACTTCTTTGTTGACATCCACCCCTTGGCGCTCATATGATGTTATGTAGTCACGAACGCCATAAAAACCTTACGGAAACAAACAAGTAGGAAACAGCACCTACCCTGCTCATTTTTTCGCTGGAATCTTTGAAGGACTTGAGCATAGTGAGAACTTCGTCGATGCTCATGGTCTGATTGTAGATTTGCTGGAAGTACATATTGGCTCGGTCCTCCGTCTCCTTGGTGAAGGTCTGAGACATCTCCGGGAAGATGCTGGACATGTCGTCCACTGGGCCAGGGGCTGCACAACGAGGAAGATCAAGAACCATCAGGCAAAAGGGCTGACAACGTTGATAATTGCGCAATGGAGAATTTTATTAATTGCTATATATTTTAGCAAAAATATTATGGCGTTGCATGAGTTTTACAACTAGTTAATTTAATAAAAACAATTATAATTAATAACTGTCTTTCCACAAATCAGAAATTCGATTCCTTTACCGGTGTACATTAGCTCTCGAAAAACTTAATGTGTCTCTGAATCTTATTTCATACCCCTTACATCAAATTTACCATGACAGAAATGCCCCTTCCATTTACCATTCGTAGGGCAGGAAACAAGACAGAAATAAAGCACTCAGAGAGTTTCATAAATTTGAAACTTTAAAAAATTATTTCCAACACTTATTGAGTACAGTTAAGCAACAACAAAAAATACCAACAAGCTATACAAATAGACACAGGGTAAAACAGAAAATTCCACTACACAATGTAACAAACATAGCTGCCACTCAGGTATTTCAAAAAAGGAGGAAATTCACACGAAAGCGTACGCGCGCTCACCGAAGGCCGGAGTAAAACCAGTGAGATTCAGAGGCAATATAATATTGGAAAATCTATGATTTTGGAAGGAAAAGTGTCATATTTGTTAACCATACTGAATTAAAATGTATTTGAATAAAAAAAAAAAACCCAAGGCACGAAGTTGACTAACAAGCATTTGACCCAGTTTGGTGACTAAAAATCCAGCGTTTTTTACCAGCTAGTGTCTTATAAAAAGATTTCTTTCTCTTAAGACTTGTGCAACGATGTAGAGTAGTACTGGATCAAGGAGGCAACACCTTTGCCACTGTAGGCCTACTACAAGATTTCTTTATCGCATGTTCCATTTTTTATAAACTTTTGAAGTTGCACACCGTCTGCTTCTTCCTCAATCCAGCTCCATTTATTTTTGCATTCTGAATAAATTTCCGACGAATTTCCGCATTATTCAATGACAACTAGGCGCGCCAACGTCCCGATGCTCTAACAACACTGTCGCTCCACAATAAAAAATGTGAAACTAGGCCTAGCGCTAGGCACAGAACGGAAATAGGAAGCTACGGTTGGACATGCGCAAGCCACGTTTTCGCCTCACTCCCAGTTCCGTATTTTGCGTGTGTAAAAAAAATTATCACAATTTGCTACCAAGAGCTGTCCAGCGGAGGAAGGAGGAAATTAGGGTGAAAAGCTAGATGACGCAGAGATTCCGCTAATTAGTGGAAAAGTGGCAGCTATGAATACACCGCTAAAGCACGTGTTCCACCATCTGTATCTGGTAAAGAGTTAAATTTCCGCTCAACCTAAAACCACACCCACCCGTGCGATTGCCCAGCCTCTCCTGGTTGACAGGCATGCCCGGTTTGGGCGTCTGCTGTGTGTTTGTGGGAAGGGACGGCATGTTGCTAACCGGTGGCCGTGGACCGGGGGCGGGCACCATGTTCTGGTTAATGGGAGCCTGCACACCCAAACCTGCTCAAGGAGAAGGAAAATACACTTAACATGTCAACAACTAGAGGTTTTAAGCGAACTTTCCACAATTATGGCCAAAAGTTTAAGAAAATATATTTATTTATGATAAGTATTTCAAAATAATATAACAAAGACAAGCATCCAACATGGCAGTTTATGAATTCAGCTTCAATTTCAGTTTTGTTTACAAGAAAAACAGCAAAGTATACTGAACACTATGACATTACAATAAAGGTAAACACAAATGAAGAAAGTGCCATAAGAATAATCTTGCAAGATGATCCCTAACACCTTTCAAACATGAATTAACTCAGTAAGTCTTGCAATGAAAGTAAATGTATTAACATTCCCACTAATACAGTATTCGTCATTAAGGGAGGCTGCTGTTTTGACTCTACACATCAGATCTAAATCCACATTGAGTGGTAGATCCCAACAGAAAGATGGGGATACTCAATAAAAGAGATGGGAGGAAGATACTACTGATAAGACAAGAAGCAGACGGCATCAAAGCACCTATCAACCACACGCTGAAATCTTCGCTGCAAAATAAAAGAAGTCACCTAACAAAGAGAACATAAAACAATGATGCATGACACTCACTCGGCATCTGATTGCCCATCATGGGGTTGAAACCCAAACCGCCGGCAGCCACCTGCTGCTGCTGCTGCTGCTGTTGTTGCTGTTGCTGAGACATGGGGGGGAACGTCTTAGACGGGGAGCCAGGGGGTCCTGGGGGCCCCAGCCCGAGATTGGCCATGGCCTGAGGTAGGCTCTGTCCTGGAGGGCCCACAGCACCTGGTCCAGGCTGGTTGAGGACCCCTCCAATGTTGGCCAGTGGGTCATGCTGGGGGGGGGGGGAACACATCACAGTTCAAAATAAACATTGGGAGGGAGGGAGAGAGAGAGAGAGAGAGAGAGAGAGAGAGAGAGAGAGAGAGAGAGAGACAGAGACAGAGAGAGAGAGACAGAGAGAGAGAGGGGGGGGGAGGGGGACACCTAAGTGTGTGAGATGGCAAACTCCTTTCTTTAACAATCCCAACAACTGCTTTCTTTAATAATTCAAACACCTTACTAAACTCAAACAGACCACTCTTAAGGTACTGCCATTCCGCTGGGATTCAGTGCTACAAAACAGCATCTGTCAACTAATCTCTACAAAAGAGACCGTGACAAAATACACTGCAAGTACATAAAAGACAGCATCTCAATACCACTTTGGTTAACAGTTCAGTTTGAATGTACACAATGTGTGAAACAATAAGCATCATTTAAATTAATGCAAGTGAAAACACCTGGCTACATCTTATTCATGACCTTCCTTTTGCATATGGTATTGTGTCTGTACGGGCATGTGTGTGTAAACAAGGGTGTGTCCATCTCCTCGTACTCATGTGTGCAGAGGGAGAGCAATCCAAAAAGACCCTCAGACCCTCAGCAGGGGCCATTCACTGCCAACACTCACCGGGTTGACCATGTTTTGCAATAGGTGTGTTTCTGTGTATGTGCATGTGTATGCAAACAAGGGTGTGTCTATCCGCGCGTGCTCATGTGTACAGTGGGAGAGCAATCCAAAAAGACCCTCAGCAGGGGGCCATTCACTGCCAACACTCACCGGGTTGACCATATTCTGTGGTGGGAAGGGCGGCTGCTTGGGTCCCATGCCCTGCATGGCCGCAGACGGAGTGGGCCTGGGCTTGTTCATGTAGATAGAGGCGTTGTTGTACATTGTGTTGATCGTCTCTGCAAGATCCGGGTTCAGGTGACTGCAGAAGGCCCCGTGAAAAAAGGTTGGGTGATAATTTTGTATGGAGACAGGACATGAAATGCATGAAATATTTTCATAAAGTGGAGAACAATCAAACATGCAAATTAAGCAACTTTTTAAAAAAATAAGGGAAGACGTGAGCAAACTACTCATCATCCTTAAAAGAAGGAAAGTTCGACACTTTGTACACTTTCGTCTATGATGAGTGCCCACGCCCAGATAGCTAAAACTTCATATGAATGAATAAATAAATAAGTCCAACCTTTTTTTTTTCTTCAGCAAATGAATACATTAACATTTGATAACAATTATTTAATCCTCAGGCCTCCTTGTAATCTCTTTTAAGGTACTCAGACTCCAAAATTTTGGGAGTTTAGGCCCTATTGAAAATACACTGAGTGAGAGTCTCAAGTCACACTTTCAGAACAGAATGGGGGTTTTCATTAGGTAAAATGGAGTCTTCTACAAGGCCAACACACAAAAAAGGAAGACAATTCCAACTATCTATCTGTGCAAAACCTACACAGTCCACAACTTGAGACAAGACAGCATGGTGACCACTGTCTCCGGGGGAAGCTGCTGGCTGCGGGTCTGTGGGTGCTCGTCCTTCACCTGCAGGCCCATCAGCTGAGGGCAGCGGCGCTTGAGGAAGATCACACAGGCCTGGATAAACGCTTCCTGCAACACCACACACAAACACACAGGTCAGTAAACAGCAGTAATCATCTTGGTAATCTCCAGAAGAGAGGAGCACATCAACACAATAATGTGTGTGTGTGTGGGGGGGGGGGGTGTTCTTGGGGTTAGTAAAGAGAAACACATCCACACATTTACAGTTATAAAGAGAAAGGGCAGAGGCAAGACAAACAGAAACAACAGCGTAAAAGAAAAGAAGTACACCCTCCAATCCCCTGCACATTAACTGTCATTAGGTTCAAAGTAAAAGCAACATACAAGAAAGAAAGAAAAGTAGGACCAACCATTGGCACCCTCTAACCATCAGAGGAATCATTATGTACAAGGTGTTTAATAGGTTCAGATTGACATTATATAACTAACTAATAGGTTCAGATTGACATTATATAACTAACTAATAGGTTCAGATTGACATTATATAACTAACTAATAGGTTCAGATTGACATTATATAACTAACTAATAGGTTCAGATTGACATTATATAACTAACTAATAGGTTCAGATTGACATTATATAACTAATAGGTTCAGATTGACATTATATAACTAACTAATAGGTTCAGATTGACATTATATAACTAACTAATAGGTTCAGATTGACATTATATAACTAACAACAGTCCCATGCCTGAAAAAGCACAAAGACATGAGAAACAATAAGGAGCTGTCCTGAAACACAACAAGTACATTTCAGCGAGTGACATGAGTTTTGTATTGTAATAGATTGTGCCCTGTGAATGTTGGCAGATACGGCTAAAATAAACAACGCACACACAAAAAAAATAATAAACAAAAGTTGTCTTCACAAAAATTTAACAGCCACACACAAACACACACATGAAATACAACATGAAAAAGAAAGTATATCACAATAACTTACAAGTGGGACATGACGCAAAAACAAAACTCAATCATACACAAACACAGTAACATGTGAAAACACTGCGTACCTTGTGTTCGCTGATCTTGTCATTGAGCCACTTGTCAAGCTTGAGGTACTCGCGTCTCGAGGCAAGACATGCCAGGTCGATGACAAAAGCGTATGGCGTCGCATTCAGCAGCATCGACAGCGCCTGCAGAGAGTGTTTAATAATTTTATGAAATTTTGCATTTTAATAAGTTTTACAGCACTTGCAACACAATTAGGTTATGCAAGTGCCGAAGATTAGGTGTTACAAGAGAGTAACAAACACAAAAAAGGAGACATAAGGACAACAGATGTTTAACAGGAAAGGGGCACCCAGTGGGAATACTAGTGCAGATCTTCAATCATCCACACAGTTGGAACTGGCAAAGATAAAAAGATACAGAGGAAAATAAACTCAAGTGCACCCAACAAGCTACCGAACCCCGACCCCACAACAAAGACGTGACAACAGAAACAGTCAACAGGATCACCGGTAGTACCTTCAGATCTTGTGCCACGTCCAGGATGCGCGAGAGGCGAACTTGGTCGTGAGGCTCTCCCCTCATGTACCACTCAGCCATGGAGTGCATGATCAAGGTTCGGATGTTGCTGGAGTGACCCTGCAATAGAGCGTCGGCGATCATAAGAAAAGTTATGCTATCCTCATTCCTCCATCGGAAGAGTTTTGAGTAAAAAGAAGCAGATCGACATGATAACCAGTCATTTAGTGCAGGAAGAGTCCAAGATAAGGCAAAAGCAGCAAAGGGAAAGACCAGAAAAACCTACCACAGACATTCTCCAAGAACAGCCATCCACTATGTAATCATGAATGCTGTTGAAACTTCATGCCACCTGCTAACCCCCCCCCCCCCCTCCCCCCCATTTGGAATCTTAACATGATAATTAAAATTTGCAATCAACAGCGCCACAGCAACATTTCGCTTCCCGCCCTACACTCCAAGAATTGCCTGAGCAAAAAACATCGGTCATCAACCCCCATTCATAGGCAGCAGAGTAAATTACTTGAGAAAAGAGGTGCACATCACCATAAAGATGGTCATTTAGCACATGGTAAAAAATAGGCAGATAGACAAAAATGACAAAGGACTAGAAAAAGATGTAGGACCTACTAACGGCGCCCTCCAAGCACCTGCAAAGCGTGAATAGGCAGCTCTTCACTTTAAAATGTTGTGAAAAGAAAAAAAAAAGGCAAATCCAGACAAAAAGTGGCACAGACCTGATGATGCCAGGCATAGTGCAGAATAACGGCCGAGTTGCTGTGGGACCCTAAGAAGCTGGGCATTAAGTTGGAGATCAGCTCCTGCTTCAATCTGTTCCACGTGGGCTAGGGAAAGAAATAAATAGATACACATTCAGATTTTGGACATCTCATCTTCAGGGAAACATTTGGCCACAACCAAAGATGGATGATGATAAATGAATTCTTATCAACACTTACTCTTCAAAACATGTCCAAACTTCCTTTCTCCTTATACATTACCTACAGAGGCAGGAGGTTTGGATTTTATTTATTTTTTAATAATGCTAAACACTGACTATCTAAACAAGACAAAAGAAAAATTTCCATTAGGAATCAAATTCAGAAAAACATCTTCAGTAAAGGCAAAGAGTAATTTTTTAACGAAAAATATGAACCTTTAACTTAAAACAAAAAACTTTTTCCACAAATGTGCTATACTTTCATTTACAGAGAGAGAGAGAGAAGCACATCAACTCATTATCAGTCAGATAGTTCTTAATTAAAAATACCAAGACGAAAAGAGAAAACCAAAAGAGGGATGATAAACAAGTAAGACCTACCAGCAGCATTCTCTATTCATCTGCCAATAATCATTTTGAAAGATTTAAAAATCCATTAACTATATAGGGGTCAACAACTTACAGCGATCTGAAGCAAAGCCAGCACTAGAATGTCCGGACACTTGGCAATGGGCACCTTGAAGAGTTCCACTACTTGGGCATGATGTCCGTTGTCAGACAGACGCAGCAAAGCCTCCACAAGGCTCAGGGATTTCCTGTCCCACAAAAATCAACACCTTTGAGCTTGGTAAAGTATGAGTCAAAGAAAAGCACATTGACAAAATGACAGACCTAAAAAGCTCCCAAAGCCCAAGACAGAGACACTAACAAGAGGGAGTACAACCTACTCATGGCACCCTCCATCCGCCAGCAACAAAATACAACACACAGTTCGTAAAGGACAATGAAACAACATTCTTATCTTCATAATGATGCTAAACACACAAGTTTCTTAACACACATGGTACTGGGGCAAACTGAGAAAGAAATATAGGTTAACAAAACCAGAGCATTAAAGGCAACACTATCATGGAACTAAGCAAAATAATGATAACACAGAAAAGGGGTGAAAAGAGCAGACCACGTGACTTTCAGTGGCTTGCATGTCCAAGCTTGCACAAATATACCTAGTGTGTATTAGTACAATACAAAGGAACTGTGTAAAAAGAAACCAGTTAAAGTAAAAAATTACACAATGACACTCACATAACGCAAAAAATACTTACCATACAGCAATTTCTCTGTCATCATCATTTGGTGTAGACTTGAGAATGTCAATGACAACAGTGTTTGAGTCCCCTTTGTAATCAGCCAAACAAAAGACGTCTGGGTGCTTCAGGGCTTGAATCAGAAATGACAGCTGATGACAAACAGTTGGACAAAGCATGAACAAACAGGTGGAGGGAGGGGGCTGGACAAAGAGGCAACGAACAAATAAATCACAGCCCAAACATGAAGTTTTGGTGACACGCACATTTCATATAAAAATGGAAACCTTCCTAAAATATATATATATATAGACTGAGCAAGCAGGTAAGATAGAAACCTTTCACACAAAATGAATGTGGTATATTCAAACCCGAAGGCATCTCAACTACTGAAACACACAAAGCTATAAAGGGTTCCAAGACATCACATCAAAATTCTTAAGAAAACACTGTCAAAAACTGGCAGTCAGCATTACGGATTTTCAGGTTTCACAGAATTGATCCCATAAAATCCCCTAATCATCACGATCATCATCCACCAATACCTGTCCTTCTGTGTTGTTCCAGGCTTTGTAGATAAGCTCAATGGGGAAGGGCTCCTGCAGGCCACGAAACAGACCCTGCACCAGTAGCCGCAGTCCCTTCCTGCCCAGCACCAGGAAGCCGTTGTGATCCAGGTTGGCTATCACTTCCCTCCAGATCAGATGGGGATTCTTTGAAGAGAAAAAAAAGTCAGAAAAGAGTTGTTTTTTTAAAGATGTCACGGTCACCTAAGAAGCTATTATTTTTACATGAATACAAAAGAAATATTCAGATTCTCACCAAGATAAAAATGTCAGCAAACAGTAACAAAAGGAATTTTGTCTAGGGAAATATTATTTATATATAAAAACTTATGAAATATCTGGATTCTTATCTCAAAACAAACAAAAAAAGTTCAGGAAACAATAAACAAAGGGAGGTGGGTCAAAGAAGATATATTTAAACGCAAATGAAAATTCTAAAAACTTGTACCAAAGAAAGTGTTGGGAATGCCCAATACAAGACAGTCACGCAGTGATCATATGACGAGAGCCAGTGCCACTTAGAGACCACCTTCTGATTTAAAAAATCTTTCGCAAAAGAGTCTCTCAGTTATTTTATGAAACTAAAGGACCAAAAATAATCCAGTCTCCTTTATACCACCTTCTGATTAAAAAATGTTTCGCAAAAGAGTCTCTCAGTTGTTTGATGAAACTAAAGGACCAAAAATAATCCAGTCTCCTTTATATCACCTTCTGATTAAAAAATGTTTCGCAAAAGAGTCTCTCCAGTTATTTTATGAAACTAAAGGACCAAAAATAATCCAGTCTCCTTTATCAAACTTTTCAGCTAGGCTTATGTATTAAAGATATTTCAACTTCATAAAAACTGACCATTTCCTTGACAACTTGCAGAAAGACATCGATATTCCAGGTGGTGTGGCCTGGAACATCTTGGCGATCATTTGACTGAAAAAGAGAAAAGATTCTCCTCGTTACCAATAATTCAATAACAACACAACATAACCATTGCTTCACATTTGAAAAATTATATCACCATAATGAATCTTGCCTCTGGCCAAACACTGTGCCCTAAGGAAAGATACTTTACACAAATTTGAGCAAAGACAGAAAGATCTTATCAGTAGGTTATTATCAGAGCTTTCAGCAGGCTGATGTCATTTTTCGAGGATTTCAGGGTCCAGGGCAGCGCCCTGCAGGGGGATGCTCATGTTTGAGAATTTTTGGTTTCAGTGCATCCTAAATATGCCATTTCTGGCTATTCAAGCCTAAATTTAAAAAGAAAATAAGGGAGAAAAAAAACATACCTTGCATACATAATTTTATGTTTGTGTTAATCCATATAAATCCAAAGCCATGCTTTTTCCCTTGTACCGATACTGTACATCCACAACAGTAGTATAACAGCTAGATCTATAAAACTCGACAGTTAATGTTCAAATTCTTTCCCGCTTGTGCTGGTTTGCATCATAATGCGTAGAATCCTTATAATAATAATATAACAGCTAGATCTAGATCTAAATAACTTGACAGCTAAATTCAACTGAAATCCACAACAATATTTACAAATAAACAAGTCTGATAAAAAAATCAAACTCTCTTCAGATTTTTCTTTTCTTGGCAGGCCCAAGATCTATTGAACCACAATCGTCATTTCTTCTTGTTAACAGAGCTGGTGCTCTGTTTCTTGTGCTTTAGAAAGTGAAAGTGAAAGACACTGTCTACACTTTCAATTAAAAGAGTACTCCTGGTAAGGGTAGGCTATTGTTGCACTATTAGTAATTACGGAAATTTTTTATTTCGCATTTTTGAAAAGTTTTTTATTTTTCCATTTGCGGAATCCTGCTAATTTGCGGAAATCTGCAAAATTGCGGAAGACTAGAAGCACTGTACTGTCTAAGCACCTCTAAAACAGTGGCTGGCGCAGAGGGTCTGAATCTGTTTCCGCAGTGTAGATGGCAGGTCACAGTAATATTCATAAAATTAAGCCGCAAGAGGTTGTCTTAAAACATTTTCTTAAAGCTAACATCAACATGTAGATGAGAAAACATTGAATAAAATTGATGTTAAGACTTAAGTCAAACATAAAAGGAACAAAGAGAAAGAATACCAAAGACAATAAATTTACATGTGCAAAGGACCAGAAAAAGTACTTGAAAGGAAAAGGAAACACCCAAAGAAGACTGTAACAGAAATTCCTTCAAATCTACACTCTCATCATCGGTAACAGCGACAAAACTCCAACATTTATACTAGTACCTGTGAGCCATGGTCTCCTAGGTTTGCAGGCGTGCGGGCCATCATTCCTAGGACACGGGCTACAGCAGGGGCAGTGATCTCCCTTGCTCCACAATGAGAGAGAAGGCTACGACACTCCTCCACACTGTTATTTGCCAATAGAGTAAAAAGAAACAAACGATTGAAAAATCAAACTCAATAGAAAAATATAACACCTTCAAATCAAAAGATCCCCAAAAAAGTGCTGTGGTGACATTTATCTTTTTTCAAAACTATTTCCATACTTCAGAGGCAAAACTTTACTAACGTTCATCAATCTCAAACACAAAACGGCTCCTTTGGACAAGTCTGCCCACATGACTTTGACCTGAGAATATGTAAGCCTAAAAGGGAAGCTACCACTCAGGTTTAAAATAAAGCCGACCCCCCCCCCCAAGGGCTTCACTGAACCAGATGGAAAAATTACAAACATGGCTTATTTTACACAACAACAAACAAAAAGCGCCCTGCACACAGAGGCCATTAGCAATGGTGTATTTGTAATACAGCACTGGAGCGACACTGTATTTACATGATCTTGACAAATGATGATATTCATTTACTAGGCTTGCCATTATACCTTTAAGTCCGCAATCGGGATTGATAAAAGTGGTAGACTATTTTTTATGTTTTGTTCAATGATTTCTTAAAAAGACCTGCCGGAAAGCATTGATAAGAGAAAATTTAGAGCCTTTCACATGAATGCAGCTTTCTAAATGAGCCGCACCACCATCTCCAGAACAAAGGAGAACTTACGTAAAAAGAAACCACTTATTCTCAGTCCAAAAACAGACCATTATAAGATAAGAAAAAATCTGTCAATCTAAGTTTTCTGTAACCACTGTATTTTCTCTTACCTAGATGTGCAGGAGTAGCCGCCCTCTAACATCATGTCAGCCACGCTGACGTCAGTCTGTAAACAGATTAACACACAATAAACTAAGACCTTCAAAACAAAACAATAAGTGTATTTGAAAACAATTTTTCAATGCTCCTGAATAGAAATAATAAAATGTATTACGTAATTTTTGTGCTCTGCTTCTTTTACACTTTTAACGGGAGGAGATACCCTTGAGGACCATTTTCTGTTTGTTGCACGAGATCAAATCTAAGTACACATATAAGTTAGGCAAAGTAAAAATCTCTTGATACGCAATTTTATTTTGGCATAGCTACAGCATAGCATACCCTATCAACGTAACAGCAAGTTTTTATCAATAAGTGCAAAAGAAAAAAAAAGAGAATTTTCCCAAGTATAAAAAAACGTTTCTAAATTTAGGTTGCGTAATCGCTTGCCAATGGAAAAGAGCTATTTTTTTCGCAAATATATGTTACATTGATGGTAGCCTTGCCATCTATGTTTCCTGAAAATTAAATGTCAAAAGGATGAAAACTAAGGAAGGAGTAGGGAACAGAACTGTAAAAAAAAAAAAAAAGAAATTTTGCGAAAAATGACACTTATTGTGAAAATTCACTGTATTAACCCACCCTCATGTTTTCAAAGGCAATTTACGAGGAAAATAAAGACTTTCTCAACTGTCTCTATGCTATTTTTAGACAAAACTGGTTGATTTTCAAAAATCAGCCAACACCTCAATTTGCCTAGCCTGACCCAAAATCTGCAAAATCAAGACTCCCTTAAAAAAAAAAAAAAAACATTCAATTAATCTTCAACAAATGAAGACAATGGGTACGATTCAATTGTGTTCCTAACTTCCCCAAACTCACTCTATATGATCAAAATGAAAATTGTTTCCATTTCAACCTGAAGGTTATTATAAATAAATAGGAATAAATACTGTAGCACTGAAACTTTCAGTGCAAATCTCCAAATTGGCATTGATTTCTGGTGCTGCACCAGTGGCAATCTATGCTTTTTAATTTACTGCTGTTGTGACAATTCCCCTGAAAAACAGCCTCCTAGACACATTCTCTACACCTACTTTTTTTTCTTTCTCAGAAAAACATGATCTTTATGCAAAATGTTCTTTTGCCTTCAATCTTTCAATCTGTCGCATTCACAACACACAATAATGGAACCAACACCTCTTCCCCCCGCCACAACAGAAAAAGTAAAACTTGCCATATTTTTCTTCATGGTTCCTAAGTCTCTGAGTTTTTTAGCACTGATATCCTCCAAATTTGGGTACACAAATGGACTGATGATAACAGGCACCCTCTCGCGCGGGAATTCTGCAAAGATAAAAAAAATCCAAAATCAATTTTTTAAATATTTAAAGTGGTATAAGAGAAATATGTTCATGTTATAAAAGTCATGCAGCAATGGCAGAAACACACTGAGAGGAACAGAGAATTAGGAATAACCTGTGAGTTCCCCCCAACTATTCACTACCTTGGCTGTAAGTTTTTGCTCCATTAAAGAGAAGCAAAATGACATGACTGCCATTTAGCACTAAGAAAGAGCAAAACAGACAGATGAGATCAAAAAGGACAAAAATAAAAAAGCAGAACCTACAGCTGCATCCTCCAACCACCCAGATCCACAGCCTACAATACTTTAATGTGGCAATGGGAAAGAGACAGGAGACGTTACTAGGGGTGTCTACAAAATTTCTGGGAAATCGTTATCACAATAAAGAGAAAGGACAGACATTATATTTAATTCAATGCATTAACAGAACCATGACCTGCAGTCCTGTGGGTGGCCTTTCAAGTAATATTTGACAGCACTAGAGGAGCTGTGAGACCAAGAGTTGGACCCTAGTAAAGAGTCAACCAGAGCAAAGGCAGTTTACATGCAAATTATAAAATATACGCACAACAATACATTTATTACGAAATAGATGTTGAAAATATAGTTATTAAAAAACCAACATACCCCTCTTATAAAATTCCTTTGCTTCAATCAATTACTCTATTCTTTGTTAACTTTTCTCGCAATAAAAGCACCAGGGGTGATCAAAGTCTACAATTTTAAATAACATTGTAATTCATTCAAATGGAAGGTCTACAACTTCAATCAAAGAGTATGAAGCTACTTCAAAAGGTGACAGATGCCTACCTCTGCGAACAGTCTTAAGGAAGGTGTCCAAGGTCTCCTGGGCAATGCCCAGCTGCTCTCTCTCTGAAGTCAGGTGAAACAGCAATAGGTGCAGGATCTCGAGGTCAGAGTCTTGGAGGCCACCTTCCTGGCGGCTTGTGTCTACAGAAACAACAGAGAAGGAACAGTTATAAATGACTGCAAATGTTACCTCTTTTCCATTGAGATAATTCATCTTTAATTGAAATTGCTTTACACCAAGCTTCAATGAAGGCGCTTTGTATACTGAGCACTGAACAAGTAGGAATTATGCATCCTTCATGTGCTGGCATGCTAGCAAGCTCAGTTTACCGTTGTATCTTACTTATATCAGTGGTTAGGTGGTAATTTCAAGTTGGTATGTGTAAAATGTACTGCACACAGGAATTTGAAATTTTACAACTTTAACGAAAAAATGTGAAGAACCTGGTCGACAACCACACAGCAACCCATCTTAGTTTTTTAAAACTTAAAGAAAATTACATAACTGTGGCAATTTTTATCAATTCTATTACTCTATTGACATTATACATTTTGATTCTTCTTTTCAATCCTGAAACATCCTGTAACTATACTATATTAACAAAAGAACTAACTCCAATACCAAACAATCGAAAAAAATTACATCCCAGTGCCAACAGAATTTTCTGCCTGCCACCAGTGACCAATTTGCATTGTTTTTTAAGTGACAGCGTTAGGTTAAATTTTCAACACCGCAAAGCCTGCCATTGAGGACATCCCAAAGGAGAAATAAATCATTATTGTCCTTCTAGTTTTAGCTGGGTGAACTCACACGCTACATTTTCACCAGTCAGCTTAACTCTTATCCTGCGTCTGTGCCCAGATGCGTATCTTATCAGCAACCGATTACATCGGACGTGCCGGGCAGGCCGCCGGGGTCACTCAGTGTGTACTGACTGTTGGTGTACAGTGCATGCCCCGGGAAACGTGTTTTCGCCGTGAATACCGTGGGAGTGTGTTAACCGATGATGAAAACAACGCTCTTTCATAGCTTTCTATTTATAAAGTGTTACAAACACATGAATAACTCCCTCTCACAAGCTGATAAGACATTACGAGTAGTTACGCCCATTCGAATAACCTTTCTGGACGCTCTTGTTGTTATGAATGACTTGAGGTTCGAAAGGGGATAATTTAGGTCAATTTCTGAATGTTTTACACTCAAATTGTTCTTTGTACCTGCACAATGGCATTCAAAACTATCAAACAAGATTATTTTTTTATCAGGTTGTACCATTTCATACAAAATCAAGCTCATTTGAAATATTTTGTATAGAAAAATGGAAGTCTTGTTTCCTGACTATCCTTTCGAGCTCCTCATGTCTAAGTGGGTCACTTTCTTCTATAATTTCATTGGACGAACATCTAGAGCTACCAACTTGGCATTTTTTTAATGAGACATATGCCTCAATTACGAACCAACGCAGGCGGTTCTAGAAGAAGGCCACAAACGCACACAAACTCAAGCAGACTGACGCACACACACTTGACCTGCGTGAATGGGGATCCGACCCGGGACCCGAATGACACGTAAGAGGATGCGCGCTGCGCGTGCGCTGAGCCAGGAGCTACACTGATTCGGGACCAGAACGTAGGCGAGGTGCCGAAATAAGCTTATCGGGCGACATAAACCCGGCTCCTGCAGGATGGGGGTTAAGCTACGTTAGTTGAACAAGAGAGTGTTCGAAACACAAACAGTGAGTTTCTTACCAACATCAACGTAAGACCGAATCAATTCAGGAAGTTTCTGTTTTGTAAACTGAAGGGCGAAACTGACAAGGTCCGTCCGAGAAGAACTGAGCAAAGCAAGTGCAACAGCAACTTCCTGCACCCGAGTCAACTTAAGAACTCGACTGATTTGTGGGAAGAGATGCACGGACGGTTTCAAGTTCTGGAGGGCAAAAGAAAACAAGTTCAATGTCAGTGCAGTTAGTTGAATGGAAAACCTAAAGTACATGTACGTGTATTTCTATATACATTACCTTTTCACCATTCATCTTTCTTACACCCAAGAAACAATAACAATACCATTTTTTAAGAGTCTTGGATGAAAATGAAAAAGGGAAGAGAATTTGGATCAGGAAAAGAAAACATAATGAATGGCTTTTTATGACAAAATGAACAAAGGAAAAGAAAACATAATGAATGGCTTTTTATGACAAAATGAACAAAGGAAACTTTTAATTTACTAAAACCTGACAGCAAGAACAACTAAGCATTACCAGTCTCTATATTATTGTGAAAAACTGGTTTTTATAATATTTTTTGTCTCTACCAAACTGAAAAACATTAACTTGGAACCCCTGCCATAAATTAAAAGTGGCAGTGAGTAATTCGAAAGTGTTAATTTTTTTTGTCTTGTCAACCAAACTTACGTTTTGTTGTTGTAGAGGATTGTCAATAGCGTAACAGAGGATGGAAACAAAGTTGGCCTTGGTAAGCAGGGCACCAAATTCTTGACTCAAATACTGAATCTGAAACAAGTAACACAAAGTGATCTATGACTTGTATGTAAACGTGCACAAAGTAAATACAAAAATACCCCACTTAGAGGAATGCAAAGCTAAATAAGAACAAAAAGTTACATGTCAGGGTTCATTCTGAGATATTTTAATTTTTTAAATGCAAGTTTTAAAAAAAGGACAAATACTGATTCTAAAGTGATGCGAACAAAACAAGTGAAAACACTAGAAATCTAACATAAAAAGGACAATAAAAAGAACAAAAAAGAAAACAGAACTTGACATAATTTTTTACACATATATATCAGTCTTCCCTTCCCAAGACCATATCATACATACATATACTTGTAGCAACACAGCCAAATACATTACTTGTAGGATTGCCATTTCGAGATATTGCACAAAACCCTGACTTACAGTGTGTTTTTAACCCCCCCCCCCCCCCCCAACTTTAAGTGAATATAGATATGGAACCCAGGCAGCTAGTTAATTATCCAAATAACAACAAGGGCTTGAACTAATTTTTTAAGATACCCAATGGCACAGTGTTGTATTGTCACAATGCGATAGTCTTGTTGCTACTCACATGCTGAAAATAATATACAACAATATTTAGTTTAGAGTAGAAATGAAAGTAAGATCAAAAACAGAAAGTCTCTTTTTTTTAATTCTACAAACAGCACATTCAATACAAACTGTCTTTCCTAAAAAATTGCTGAAACAGTTCAGAAATCCAAATTACCAAACTGCTAAAAACAAAACAATCAGTACTGAGTATCCACCAAATCTCGAATCTCAACCATGACAGAAGAGGTGAAGGAAGAACTGAAGGAAAAGGAATTTGCAGTTTCACAAATTAATACATTAATACATTGTGTACGGTTGAACCAGTCAGAGACACCAACTCACTGTCAAAAAGGTACATCCTCTTGGACCAAGTCATTAAAATAAACAAAAACGATAAAAATAAAGGGGGGGCAGGAATGGCCATCTGTAGATGATTGTGTCTTGGACAAGTGGTCGTGAGAGTAGCTTCGGCTCTAAGCAAAAATTAGGATCATTTTCATTTCTGCTTTGACTATACCCAAGAATTAAATTCCATAACTAATGAGCGACCACTATTAAATGGACAGAGGGTTGGGCTAAGGGTAAAGGCTAGATATATGAGGAGGGTATGGGTTTGGGTTAGGATTAGGGTCGGGGTTAGGGTCATTCTTTGTATCGTGTTTGTTGGGGTGGTCGCTCAGTACGGAAGTCCTTTTATAGCCAAACGAAGAGGCAATAAGTAGATCCTGCAATTAAAAGACGATTGATAAATAATATGAACCACATAATCATAGAATCATAAGTAGGCATTTGATCAAAACAGTATTTTTTGTTGACTATAATATATTTACCTGATATTGGTCCTTGCCACTGCTTTTACCATCGCCGCTGAAGTCGATGTGAGAGAAAAGGCACCTAAACAGATGCCTATCGGCTTCAGCACCGTGCTGGGCCACCAACTGCAAGCAAACAATTTACACCACTAAATAAACAAAGATCAAATTTAAAAAATCTTTTTTATATCAATCCATTTTCTACATAATATTTTTCAGATCTTTCTTTTAAACAAATCAAAATCTGAATTCAAAACTCAAATGCCTTAGTGGAGGCCAGTCACCAGGAGGTAAACATTCCGATGCAAAATAATCTCTGAAGATCTACCTGCACTTTAGGAGAAGCTGACGACTTCTAACAGAAAAAAAGAGCAATTTGAAATGTGACCACCCTTACAAACTCCAATTTTACAATCGAAGTGGCTAGCTAGACTGAGAGTCTAGCCGTACTTAAGTACGGCTAGACTGCCAGTCTAGCCGTACTTAGATCTAGGTTTGGCCCAATCGACTCAATCCTGTTAAGTACACAGGTCTCATTAGATCTAGATCTAGTAATTATTCAGGTTCAAATACATGCAAGTCAGTAAGGCACCTTTTGGTTTTGTCTGAAATACAAATACTTTAGGCATTGCAAACTAAAATTTTCATTTACAATTCAGCCATCAATATTAAGTACGGCTAGACTGACAGACATCAATATTAAGTACGGCTAGCCTGGCAGTCTAGCCGTCCTTAAGTACGGCTAGCCTGGCTGTCTACCCGTACTTAAGTACGGCTAGACTGCCAGTCTAGCCGTACTTATCTTAGGCCCTATTTACATTAGAAGACAGGAGGTTTAAAATACATGCACTGTCATTAAGGAACCTGGTTTTGTCTCAAATACAAATACTTTAGGTACTGCACACTAAAAATGTATATTTACAATTCAGTAGGCCTATTTTTTGTAAATGGTCAGTCTAGCCATCATATTAAGAATAAGTACGGCTAGACTGTAAGTCTAGCCGTACTTAAGTACGGCTAGACTGTGAGTCTTACCGTACTTAAGTACGGCTAGACTGCCAGTCTAGCCGTCATTAAGTACGGCTAGCCTCTTCCTTTTACAATACATCTGTAAATTTAAAATAATACACTCAAGCACCCCGCCAGGCGGTGCTGCTGACTGAAGAGTCTTTAGGCCATTCACAAAGGGGGATATTAACATGTTCTTATGCACAGTAGAATTTTAAAAGGGCCGATTCATCAATGTCATGCTCATAACTGTGCCTGAACTGCATTAGCGAACTGCTGCTTTTTTCTTTCCAAACCCTTACTATCGTCATTTTCTTCTACTTTATTATGTTTGTCACACTCTTGTGACCTTGACCTATTTCCCAGGGTGCCTGGATAGTAGAAGCAGATTTTGTGCTGTTGAAGCTAGAGAGGTGAGCAGAATAAGCCTGATTCCCTGTAAGGACTTCTCTGTTGACATCCACCCCTTGGTGCTCATATGACCTAATGCAGTTGCGAGCGCCGTAAATTCTCTACTAAAACTAAATACACTCAAGACCTCTTGTAGTCTGTATTCCTATTGCAACAATTCAGTAGTTGAACTGCAAGAACAATGACATTCGTTTACTATTACATACACAGAAAACCAATGAATTAATTCATCATTATCCTCAGGACCAATAATTATGCCCAAGAAAACGCGCTCAATTACCTTTTCTCTCCTTTTTCATCTTCATCACACAACACTTCAGTTTCAATTTCAAAAACATTTTTAGATTTGTTTTGCTTGAAGCCATCATAGGGTAAGACTACAGTCACTTAGATATTAACACATGAAGCCGCAGCGAGCACCTAGCACACCTCTGTGATTGGCCCAAACATAGATGACGACGACGTATTTCTGCCATCTATTTTTGTTGTCTTCTAGGGCTTCCCTCGCCAGCTGACTAGACCTCACCGTAGCGGGCTCGCTTTGCCGTTTAGCGTGTGATGGGCTATATCACTAGGTTTCATGGCCCACTGCTTCGGGCTGTGTGTGCGCGCGCGCATGCACTTTGTGTGTGTATGTACAACTTTGAGGAGCAGGTAAATTTACAGAATGAAAATTGCTGAGATTGTTTAAAAAATAAATTAGTTTAAAGTAAAGTTGTTCCCGCATCCGATCCTCATTGGGGATTGCCTTGTTAGATTGTTCGTGAGATCTTCCTGGGCCTTCGGCATATTGTGGTAGGGTGGCCAGTTCCTTTCCATGCTGCCCTTACTTCCCCACTCGAAGTCAGGTATCCATTACCGCTGTGTGGCTGTGGGCAGGAGGGGGCGGAAAAAAATATATATCCGAACCGGGGCTCGAACCCGGACGTTCCGCTTCAGAGACGAGCACACTAACCGCTCCGCCACGGCACCCAAAAAAAAAAACCACGGCGAGATCTATATCTAGTCAAGAGTTACTGGCAAGGGAAACCTAAGAGGGGGAAACCCCAGAAGACGACAAAAATAGACGGCGGAAATACATCATAGACATATTTGGGCCAATCACAGAAGTGTGCTAGGTGCTTGCTGCAGCTTCATGCGATATTTACTGACTCAGACTGAGAGGAAAACATTCCACTTTTTTCCAACTGAATTCAACAAGACAGAGACTACCTTGGCCTTGGACCATGAGCCTTCACTTAAGCCTTAAGCCGCGGCACTCTTGACTCATCGAGACATTCTTCTATGCCATTCCTATAAATTAGTATAAAATTTCATTTGCCAGGGTCAACAAGGCTGGTTAAAAGCGAATACTAGGACTGGGGACAACACTGAGCCTGAACGGGTATCGACCTCATTCTTTCAAAGAAGAAAGTGGCTATTCTCACCCGCCCGGAAGTTCTCGCAAGATCAACTCCTCCCCTCTTCTCATTCTCTCTCTCTCTGTCTCTTTCTGAATACTGTCTATCGGTGTGGACGATCAAATTGACAAAAACAAAGTTTTAAAAATGATGTTAAAACACAAAAGTAAATTAATTTGGTTGTCTACAAAGATGCTACGGCTATTTAACTTTTCGAATCGAGCCGAACTACGCGGGTCGCCATTTTGTTTTGCCTGGAAATTCTCGCGCTACTCCTCTCTCTCTTTCTCTCTCTCTCTCTCTCCACTGCCCACAGTGGCCACAGACAAAATTGTACTCTTTTAGTAGGCTACAGTTGTAATGGAACGTTTGTTCACGGCACAGAATTCTACAATTTTTCTGTTATCACAGTGTAGAATTCTGTGGTTTAGGGTGAACGCAAAATTTGTTGGCCTAGATCTAGGCTACAACAGTGAACGCGCACCGGGTGAGAATAGCCACAAGACTCGCCTGCACTATTCTCACTCCGGGTGAGAATAGAGGCGGCCTTCAAAGAAAAAGGGAACAGCATGGTAGTTTCCATAATTTTTTCATGCATACTTACTCGTTTCTGGGCAGCCAAATTTTGAACAAGTAACACCAAGGAAAACTTAACAACTAAACCAATGTCTGGTATGCCTTGTACCTTACTTAGACACAGTGTAACTGTCAAGTAGCATGCACTGTGCACAGGCACAGAGAGAATCATGTGGCCTACTGACAACTGAACACTCTCTCATCTCTTCTGGGACAAGTGAGACCCTGCCTCACTGATTTCTTTGGGTCTGAGGAGGCTCACTTATGGGATTCATTTAAAAAGATGTGTGTGTTAATGACCAAACTGTCTCTTTAAGATAAACATGGGGTTTCTGCATGTTTTAAAAACAACATTATGTCATGACACTCATTTGACAATTGAATAATATGACACAACTGCAACAACCAATGAACACAATGCAGTGTTTTCCTTTGTTTTGCTCTACTATTTTGTTGTGCTTTTTAAAGTAGATTTATATGTGATGACTACTTCATGCAAACTACTAACAATATTCTAGACTTACGTGATTGACGGCAGCAACACTCTGCTTATAATTCTTCTTGTTTAAATTGGCAACAGTGTAACTTATTTCAGATAACGCAAAAGAAAGCGGGTCCAAATTCATATTACTCCATACACATCAAGGCGAAAGCCCCAAAAGTCATTTGAGGCTTTCTTGAAACTGCAAAAATCTTTTCTGTAATATGTAATATTTCCTTCAAAGACAAAACGGGATAAATTGTGGGCCACCATTAGGAAAGCCACACTGTTTTCTCTACATATTCACTACCCTCGACATGGCGTCAGAACGGCCATGTTTGGATCCTGAAAGTGACTCGATGCAATTCCTTTCCCCGGATTTTTTAAACGCTGTCAGTCTGTAGGCTAAGCCTACCTCACTCAACTCATGTATTTATTACGCTAGCCTCTTTCTTTCTCTCTCTCTCTCTCTCTCTCTCTCTCTCTCTCTCTCTCTCTCTCTCTCTCTCTCTCTCTCTCTCTCTCTCTCTATCCATCTATCTATCAATCTATCTATCTATCTATCTATCTATCTGTATGTCTATCTCTCTGTACAATACACTTTTATATAGTAAAAAAAAATTACTTCTTTATAGCGGCCACTCCCTGGCGGCACTTCACAATAAAATTATCTTTTTTCTATTCGACATCAATGAAACGTTTCATGCACACAGGCCCATTCAACGTAGATCATAAACAATGTGTGTGTGTGTGTGTGTGTGTGTGTGTGTGTGTGTGTGTGTGTGTGTGTGTGTGTGTGTGTGTGTGTGTGTGTGTGTGTGTGTGTGTGTGTGTGTGTGTGTGTGTGTGTGTGTGTGTGTGTGTGAAAACCATTCATGAAATTTGAAGCCTCGCATTTGAAGAAGTGAGTAGAGTCACTGCTGGGAGTACATATAGCGAAGAGATTAGTGAATGACAAATGTAGGCCTAATTATAGGTGTTGTATCTCCTTGAAGGCTCTCACAGTTTCAAAAGTACGTAGTATGTATTTTTTTAAGGTCTGTTCACTCTTCCGTCATCTCAGATCTCTTGGGGAACATACATCGTAGCTTCTCCTATGCTCATAAACACCATTCATGCAAATAGTTCCCTATCTGTTTGTCATGCAGTATGTATTTATAGCATGCAGAACCAGCGGAAAGTACGACGGTACAACATCCTAATATCGTAACCATTTGACAGGGAAAGCCCATCAGACCCCCGTACCTGGTTGCAACGATAAATAAAGATATATGGGATTTCTTACGTCTCAGAAAGTATAGGTTAGGCTACACCCATTCCGTCTCGCACACTCAGACAGTTTCACCTATATTCCTTCATACACACATTACTTAGAGACCCTCTTCCACCCCTTCCCCCAATCCAATTTTAAAAATTCTCACATAGAGCCCTCTCTTCCTTGACCTGCACTGTGTGGTATCTGTATTGTCAGAAGAGTTTCATTAGCTTACATAATAGGCTACATTCTGAATTTACCAAACGTAAAAAGACTCTGGCAATTACTATACTCATCCCACTTTCTTCACCTAAATAAAGCCAAGACCAAACAAACAATAACACAAATCTATAAACTGAAGCTATAAACATTGCACACGCTATGTTCGGGCTATCTCACCAGTATCTGTGCGTTAAAATGAAATCAGATCAACCAATTATGTGTACTGCAAAAAGCAGCCAAATTCGTAGGATTGTAGTTTATCTGGACAAAAAGCTCAACCACTTTACTCACTGGTCCAGGAGGAACCAGTCACTGAATGCTCCCGTAGCCTAGCCTAGCCTTTATGAAAAAAAAATTAGGGTAGGCAATCTGGGTCGCATAGCCTATATGGCCTCATTCCGCATGGAAAATACCGTTTTTTATTTTATAAAGAGTGTAGCATAATATATAGAAAATTACTGTCTTGTGTGCATCTTAAATAGATCGAACCGTAAGGAACAAAGTGTTCAGATGCGGTTTAGATCAACTGTATTGACAATAATGAAATTTATCGAGTAAGATCAACAAAGTTTTTAGGTATTATTGATGAAATGTTTGGCCAGACCATAGTTCTGTTAAAAATAAATAAGCACGGTATACTTCGATTTTGCTAAAGGCTAGACCCTTACTTTCAAACACAAAGGCTTATTTAACTCTTTACCTTGTTTTTGTTTTATTTAAACAATTACATGTTATTGTTCAACTATGGAACAATTTGGACGAAGATTTAAATTACATTAATAATTCGTAACTTCAAAAAAAGATTTAGGCTGATCCTCCAAAACTCTACTAGCATAACAATTTTGGAGAGATATTATATAAGCGAAGTAATTTTGTCACACATAATTGGGGTGTGACGTCGAGATATGACCGTCTGACGAAATGACTGCATATGCAGTTATCGTACAAACAGTATTCGAGCCACGAAATAATAGCGTACTTTTTAAATTTGTTTTCCCTTTTCTTTTCTCTTTCCATTAAACTAAACTCTGACTATCTCATAAATGCTAGAGAATAGGCTTTTCCTCTACAGAATCCAATTTCGACGTGAACTTCAACCGTTAAATTTCCGTAACTGAACATTATGAATAATGCAAGTATGTATTATATATATATCGCCTTCGTCTTTCACTTCAATCGGCACCCTTCATTGCAAATGATCTTACAACAACAATAACGACAAAACAACAACAACAACAAAAAGATACGAAAATCGCTTTGCATTTAATTTTCATTGTCGTGCTTGCCAAAATTAGATTTCAATTATTGTAAAAATGATCATGAACAACCGCCACAGCAGGCGACTAGGGTTATAATTATTCGTGCTGCAAAGACTACTAGATCTAGATCAATTATAAATAGGTACTTTCATAATGGCCGTTTTAAAATATTTATAAGCAATCATAACATTGGCTAATAAATGAAAATACTCGGTAAATATAGTAAGAAATAATGGGACACATCGTATACACTGTTCATAAAAAGGCGTTACGACATTTGTTGGCTGTATATTTGATTAATTAGTTTAAAATATATACGTGTATGCTGTTATTTTGTCTCCGGCTCTCCCCACCCCGCCCCCTTTCTACTCCCCGTTCTCTCTCTCTCTCTCTCTCTCTCTCTCTCTCTCTCTCTCTCTCTCTCTCTCTCTCTCTCTCTGTCTCTCTCTCTCTCTCTCTCTCTCTCTCTCTCTCTCTCTCTCTCTCTCTCTCTCTCTCTCTCCCTCGGTAGTAGCCTACCGGTACAATGGAAGATGTCGTTATCTGCATCTGGTAGCTCTACAAATTTACCTAATTTTATGTAAGCCTCCAATTCTAATACAAGGATATTTCAATTGTTTTAAAATATGAAATATATTGTAATTTGATATACAAAAAGTAACTTTTCTACGAAGCGTGGGAGGTTCGGGGAATATCGTGGTTCGATTATCAACTCCATTTCCCATTGGCCATATAGCCGATGTGACAATTCAAAAGTTTCAGTTTCAGAAGCTTCAAATTGAGTGTTTCTATTATTAGGGACATTAATTCCATATTGTGAAGTATAGTCGCCAGCTGAAAAGTTTATGTGTGTGTGTGTGTGTGTGTGTGTGTGTGTGTGTGTGTGTGTGTGTGTGTGTGTGTGTGTGTGTGTGTGTGTGTGTGTGTGTGTGTGTGTGTGGGGAGGTGTGTGTGGAGGTGTGTGAGGCGGGGGGGGGGGGGGTGTTGTCTCCGCAGGCCTATGTATGGTGGTGCTTTTTTGGTGCTTTGGTAAAAAAAAAACTGAGCTTGATATTAAACCCTCAATAATTCATTTATAGTGGCACCAGCCATCGATACTCAGGTGTTGTTTTAGCCAATTGATAAACTCCAATAACCAATGCAGACTTGATTAGACGGACCACAGGCTACAATTGACTACTATACAACAAGTAATTAATTTAAACAGGTTGGTGGGGGCTCTCGTGGCCTAGATGTTAAGGTGTTCGCCTCTCATTCAAAGGTCCGGGGTTCGAATCCGGGTAGTGACTAAAACATTTTCTTCTCTAAAATTGTCTCCTTTCACCTCTTTTCCTGCTCTCTAGCAATGTTCTGTCATCTGCTTTCGTCTCCACTTTCTGCCCCCACCCCCTCACGTCCTTTGCCCCCTCCTCTGGGCTCCCGACTCCTTTTGCAGCCTTTCTACTGCTACTCCTTGGCTCCTTCTTACTCTGTCTTTCAGCCACACACCTGATCTTCTGGTAGGAAAGGAAATTCAATGTATCTACACCTAGCCTTCTCGGACAAGGGCGAAAAATCTCGGAGGTCCCGTGTGCAAGTTGCGCACTTTAGAGATCCTTTGGTGGTCTAAAATCGATAAGAGTAGGCTGCGGCCGCCCCCTGGGCAAAATTCTGAGTATTAATTTGTGGGGGGGGGGGTAGGTGGGATATGAGCATCAACAAACTGCCTAGAATCATAACTCAACCTCAATAATATGCTCTCACTTCTCACTACCGTGTGTGCATAGTTCAACTAAAGATTCTCTAGTTCAATGGGAGGGAACCAGTGACTCGTGTTATGGGGATGTCTTTGATCTGTGAGCTGCAAGGGGGATAACTGATGAAATGTTTGTGCGAGAGACAGAGACGCTGAATTTTTTTTTATTCAAATAGTAAATACAATGATTATTTTAGGTATTTAAGTTCTGCAGTGAGTGACTACTTGTGAGTTCGCCAGATTTGATACTAAAGCCATGCTGAAAGAAAGAAAGATCAAGAAAGAAAGAAAAAAAGAAAGAAAAAACAGTGTGTGTGTATGTGTGAGTGTGTGTATAAGTGTTTGTGTGTGTGTGTGTTCGTGTGTGTGTGTGTGTGTGTGTGTGTGTGTGTGTGTTCGTGTTCGTGTTCGTGTGTGTGTATGTGTGTGTGTGTATGTGTGTGTGTACGTGTGTGTGTGCGCGTGTGTGTGCGCGTGTGTGTGCGTAACAGAGAGAGAGAGAGAGAGAGGGAGAGAGTATGTGTGTGTAAGTGTGTTTGTGTGTGTGTGTGTGTGTATGTGTGTGTGTGAGAGAGAGAGTGAGTGTGTGAGAGAGAGAGAGA